ACGGCACTGTGATGAAGCCATCGTAGACGGCGTGGCGCATGCCATACGCCTGCCCGCGTCTGCGCGCGCACAATCTGAAGCCGCAGAGCCAGACTCGCCCGCATGGACACCCACGCCCGAACGCAACCGGCTGAACAAAAGCCGTCCTTCATCTCCAGGGTATGCAGCTTTCCTGTCTTCCTAAGCACGCTTGTCGTTTTTACGCTGAGATCCGCGGCAGTTGCCCCGACAACCGTGAGGCACGATGTGTATCTCATTTCTGCCGCAAGTTTAGTTATCGCTGCCGACGAGCAGGAAACAGCCCTGTGCTGGTCAGAAAGCACAATACTGTGCTCCGCCACCATCCCACTGCAACACTTCCTACCTATTCTTGCACTACGCAGCAGCTACGCGCGGGCCGTTCCCCGTGCTTCGAGCCCTCCATGAACTGCAGTGGACCACTGTACTAAATGATGCACGACACCTGACGATGCATCGCGTGCGACACGCTGCTCATGACGTGTACAGATTCGTCTTCTGTATTACATCCGCTGGGTTTCGCGCGGAAATATTGCTTTTCTATGCCCTCACTTGCCACAGGAGAGCCCTTCGAGTCCACACAAATTATGGTCGTGGTCGAATATGACCATTTTCTCGCTGAAAAGTTTCATGTCTCTGGCAAAGCGCTCCTGGTCCTGTTCAACCAAATGAACGAACCTGTCGAGCCCCCCGGGTGTGTTAGAGTCCTTTTCAAACAGTTCAGATAAGACTACTGTGCGCAAAGCCTTGTTAGTCGGGACCTGACCCCGCGCTTCCAGTATCGCCGTGACCTTATTTCTTACGTTTTCATCCAGCTTAAACAACTGTCTAATCGTTCGTGGAGGTCGAGGTTCGCCTTGCCATCGTTCCTTAAATATCTGGAGAGCATTTCTATACACTTGCAGTGCGTTGTGGCTGGGTAGTGTGACCGAGCGCTGGTACCAAGGGTCCGAACATATATCTCTCGAGCCCATACATAGGTAGACCTCGCGTAGCAAGTCCAACACATTAACGGACTGGCCTATATCAGCGTATTTCAAAGCAACGTTCTTCATTGCTTCGTATGCTGCGGTTCCTCTGATGGTCGGGAACGGAGGTTCCGCGTATGTCGACGTCGGTACCCACGTCTGGGATTCGCGAGGCCCTCTCTGGAATTTTGCATTCAGTAAATTGCGAGGCGCGTAACGGGCCTTTCTGTCATTCCCAGCTGCGAAATGGCTCACTGGTCTTCTAATGACCCAGTTCTCCGGGGCGCACTTTACGCTCTCAATGCCGTAAATTGGCTCCCCGGAGTCCGAAACAGCACCAGGATTAAGCATACTGGGCGGCCAAGCCTGTTGTACAAGCCGCGATGATGTGTTCATCAACTCTGGATATCCATTCGAGCCCCGGAACGCCAGTCCGTTGAATCCAACATGCTTCGTAGTCCTCTGCGATACAACTCCCTGTCCGCTTGGCGAGAACGGTTGGTCCAGCGGGACCACCAAGGGAGGTACCACTGATTCATTTTGAGTTTGCGGATGCTCCGAATTACTTAGTGGAACAGAGGTCTGACTGTCACCAGATAATTCGGACAAGTTGGCCGCAGGTACGTCGAAAAATCGCTCTTCGTACGCAAGTTCGTCCTGCGGTCGGCGAGTAGGGGAGGAGGCAGAGATCCGGACCATTCCTTCGGCAACAGGAAGAGCCGGACCGAGAAGATGCAATACGTCACAGGACAGTCTTTGTTTGGCGACCTGGCGGCATGCAGCAGCGAAGTGAATATTTCGTTTGGTGAAACCGAAATCCTTGGGGGGTTTGGTTTGATATCCCAAAGACTTAAAAATACCAGCAAAGTCCACGCTTCCGAGTGGGTTCACCGCAAATCCCCTAACGTTCCCGCTTCGGGAGTTTATCGATTCAAACTCACTCAGAAGGTCATCAATGCTGAGAAGGACGGACTTTTTCCGCCTGGTCTGCCATTGTCCGAACAACATATCGGCTAACCATTTCCCATGGTTATTCTCCAGAAAAACGACTATTACAATGTCCGCCAGCCCTTGATCCACCATATATTGTGGCAACGCGATCGTTGTTAACCAATTTTTCCCCACAGCTGCGTTATCTGAAACGATTACTTTGATTGCCTCTCCCTTACACCGCAAAAGGTGATCAATCAACACCATTTCAATGATAGCTGAAGCATTTTTTGGTCCAGTTCCCTGTTCGTGGGAGAAAACAATAGAATCCTTCGTGACAGCGTTGACATGCGCATTGACGTTGAAGCGCCAGCGTGTAATATCTGCTGAAACGTTCACAGTAAAATGTGGCAAGTCGACCTTCGTCATGTCATCCTGGTGGGTGATCATGGCGTGGTTGGCCATAGAGTTCCACCCGTTTCCAATAAAATTTAGCTCGCGAAAACGATTTTCCACGGAGCGAAAGAAGTCGCCCCAAGACTTCACAGTTTTTCGTATTTCCGCATCGCGCCGGTTGTGAACTACGAATGTACTTAGTGCTTCTTGCTCTTGGTACTTTTTTGTGGCAAGTGCTGCAAGAAGATGGTCGCTCTCGAACTGGGTGTTCTGGTCAAAATCTTGGGTCCCGTCACCGAATTGTGAACGGTGCTGATGCTCCAGCTGTTTTGACTCGTAGTGGTACTGCAGGATGGCGTATCTCAACGTCTTGCAATGAGGGCAAGCGTTGTGGTCCGATTGATTGAATTCTACGCGGCACCTTCTTGCCTCAAGATACCGATTTATCATTCTTTGTAGAGTTGAGTCTGACATCTGCTCGTCGACTTCGACATCCTCGTTTAACATTCTCCTCAGCAGCTTTCGTAGCTTCTATTTGGTGTTGATCTCAGGGGAGTATACTCGGCACACGTTCATACCATGGCCTCCAGCCGGATCCGCACGAAGAACCATGTCCAAATTATTTTCGACTTGTTCACGGACGTGGTCCGGGTACCTGTTCATTGGGTGCATTTTGTGGGTACGGTAGCCTTGCACTCCTCCCTCAATAAAGGACCTGTGCTCAATTTTGGGGTTGGAGCACATGGCTTGGAGAGCCATACGCACATCCGAAATGTGCCCTTTGGACACAGTATACAACGCAGAGAGAGCAGCGTCGCACACTTTTGTCGGGGCGTTGGAAAGCGTGCAGAACATTGCATTAAGGAGGAATCTGTTCTCCTTTCGCCGCGGGTTGAGCTCCTTCGAGCATTTCGAAAATTCTCGGTACTCGCTTGTTAAGAACACAATATTCAGAGCGCTTAGACAAGGCTCACTACACCCACAATCCCAGGTTGGTAGTTCTTCGATTGGGGGATACCCTGCTCGATCTTCGACACGACGACGCTGACGTAACCGGGTACCTGCATCGTCAACGATGCAGGAAAGCTCTATCTCGGTGGCCTCCCCAGACTGTTTGCCTGTGCTCGGTATTTTCTTCCTCCCGTAAAGAAATTTTTTTGAGACGCCCAGCAAGCAGCAAATCGCTTCCGTGCAGAGCTTCTCCGAGGGACATTTCGTGCCACTCGGTGCGTCCTCCTTACCGTAGAGAAACGGTAGAACTCGCACGACGAAGTTTGCGAATTTTCGCAAACCTTTTTTTCGGTCTGTCGAGGCAACGTCCGCACTAAACCCACCTTCTCTCTCTTGTCTGGATGGTGCGTAAAAGCCAATGTACGACCCACCAATACCGCGTCGTCTCGTGTCAACAAGATCGGTAATAGGTGCGATAGACGAATGTAATCGTTCCGCAATTTCCTGAATTAGGCGAATCTCTTCGAAGAGTCGAATCTTTACAGGGTCGATTGCGATGGAGGCAAAACAAAAACGACTGCAGCAGTGCCATATGGATGTCGGAAACACGTCCTTATAAGCACGGTAAGCGGCCTGCGCCCTTTTCTCTGTATTCAAAAGCTCTGCAGCGCCACGATTAATGACACTGGTAGATGACAGCGTCAATTCTTTACTTCCTCCCCCTGCAGAAAAGACATCATGGTATGGTCCTCGCTGTGCCCACTCAACCAGAAACTTACATATCGACCTTCCAGCATTGAGGTCGCTCTGCCAATCGATCTCCCTTCCACCAAACTGAGATTCTAAATCAGACGAGTTCAGGTCATTGAGGTACTCCCATGCTTCTTGTGGAGCATTACGAGCAAGAGACATGCGACGATCCCTTGACTGACTCATTTTTGGTGAAATAGCAGTAAAGTTTCTCGAAGACTGTAGAGGTGGAGGTCGGAATTTGACGTTTTTGTGAGTTATAAAGGCGGAAGGATTACAAGGCAGCAATAATCGTTTTCGGGACAAGTTGGAGGCGGTAGAAATGGAGGTCGGCTGTGCTCGTCTTTTTGCGAGGAAAAGCGGGCGTTCAGGTCTAAAGTAGAAAAAGGCAGAGGTGTACAGATAGTGAGCAAGTGCGACCCTAGCAAAGGCACCAGTGGTGGATGTCAATAATGCAAGGCAACGAATTTGGAAGTCTGCGGTGACCTTATGTTCGCGAGTAGCGGCGGACCTCAAGGTCAACAGTGATAAATGGCGGAGGTGTGGCGGGGTGACCAATCGTGCCCACAGAAAGGCAGCGGGGTCGAGGATGAGAGTTATCGTCTCTGCAGGAACGGGGATAGTGGCGGGGATGGAGACGGCGGAATTGGTTAAGGAAAACGGAGACGGAGTGGGTTGCGAGGCGGCGAGAGAGCGGGAGAAGTGCAGAGCGCGAATATAGAGAATTGTGGACTGATCGGCGAAGCCTTCGATGCCCAGAGACAACTTCTAGTTTGAAGACGTTTAAACAATTGAACGGCAATCGATTTCGCAACTTTTGAAGAATTTGGAAAGTGGCTTCTGCACTATTCAAAATGTTCCCATTTTCCGAATATAGTTTCGCTTTGACATCCATCACTGTTCCAGTCGAATTACAGAGAACCAGGTATGTTCATCTGTTCCAACGTCGACCTGGAAGCGCACCAATGAAATTTGAAGGATGAAATTGGAAAACAAATAAACTTTTATAGTGGACATGCAGCCAGAGATGTGGCCATCTCATGTTCCAGAGCCACTGTGCGACGATTCCAAGGCCAAAACGTCTCACCATCTGGGTCGCATTTGGATGTATTCTCCTGATCGCGACTCTGCGAGTTAGGAACGGCCCTCATCTACAAGAGCGAAATCTCTTCTAGTCTAAAGGTGTCCTCACATCGCTATGTCAACCGTCATATTTCTTGGATACCTCACTCTAGATTTAGCGTTCACGTTGGCAGTATACACAATATTCGGCCTGATCATCTGGAAGCATACATAGGCATATGTGCTCCCGCCGCCAATAAACTTTGTGGCCTTCCCGGCGCACTGTTTCAGTGCTGCGGGATCATTCTTTGTAAAAAATCTTGCCCCCGGAAACTGGCCTTCAATGTGCTTCTTCCCAGTGAGATCTGTGACAATGAGCAGCGATGAGGGCGAGACCTTGCCCGAAGAAATGAGTCGATGCACAGCATGGTAGTGCACCTGCTTGCTCACACGCTGCCTCCGGTCGCGGGCGATGTCGCCGTAGCGGTAATGGAAGACGGCGTCGATGCCAGTGCAGTTCAGCGGATGTTCATCCCTCACCTTGAGGTTTTGAACGAGAAACGCGGTAGTGTTGTATCGATTCTCATAATCTCTCAGGTCAGGGTTGATGACGTGAATGGTGCGGCAAGATCCGAGGCGGTTCAAGGGGACATCTCCCTCCCCCTCCATCCAATACTTCCAGCCTGTTTTCGTGAGAACGGTCTTGACGCGGCACGCAGAGGGCCCCCAAGGCAGAGCCGCGGAGCATTTCGGGAAGAACTGGCGGACGTAGTATCCATGTGTGGATTTGATACCAGGGACCTTAAGGCAGCTGCCGAGCTGATGTGTAAGCACTGTAGTCTTGCGCAAGTGCATGAGCGCAGCGCCGAGCCCCTCCGTAGTGAGGTCCTTCTGTGTTACGTAGAGCGGGGCTTTGAAGTCTGTGGGGAAGACGCCGAGGAGGGAGACGCTGATGATTGCAAAGGCCGTCAACAAGGCCAGTGAACAGGTGAGGGCGGGAGGAAGTGTGCTTCGCTGCGGGCGCGGAGCCATGGCAGGCGGCAACGGCGGCCGAAGGTAGCGCATATCTGCGGGGGGACGTGAACGGCGTCGATGGAGAGAGCATTTGGAAGCGTGGGGCTGTACGCTAGAGAAGATCCTGCCTTGTTGGGCGTGGGCCGGACCGCATAGCCCTGTGGTAGAGCCCTGTGAGGTAGAAGTGAACATTGTTGTTCGATTTTCGATTGTGAAAATTATAATTGCGAAAACCTGGAATTCATGGAGAAATTTAGAGAAGGAAGTTACGTGCCCTCAACCTCTCCCACCACTCACAACTCGCCATCACTAACATGCTAATCATTCCAGTTGTTGACAACATTCCATTTTTCACAATCGCTTCAAACAGCCCTGATCTCATTCATGGCTTTCAAGAGCCGTTCCTAAAAACTCGCAGTCCATCAAAAATTGCGCTTCTCTTGACTTACAGCAGTGCGTATCTCCCGGGCCTTTAAATTTGAATTTTTCGAGAAAAGCGTTGTAAATGGAAGTACACCTGATCACAGTATTTAACCTGGGCCGGGTTAATTTTGAAGCTCATATTTCCAGATGCACTCATCAAATAATCTACTGTAGACGAATATCATCAGGAAATACGATAAGCAGAGGAAAATGGCTGGTCATGTGACCAGCCTACTGTAACTGTATCTCGTACTCAGATACAGCTACAACAGGGTACCCTGAGTGTATTTGTGTCGGTGGATAACAGAAATTATACACCAAAACCTGTGGTATACACCAAATACTTTGGACATACAGTGGAGACCACGATATAAGAGCACCCTGTGCCAACCCCTTCATACTGCTCTTAATCCGAGGTTGCTACTATTCAAGAATCCCGCACAGGATGCCCATTTTACTCCTTAGAACGCTGTAGCATCTCACCAATAAGCAGTTGCCTGGACCCGTGCTGCGACCAATTCCAAAACGCTTCATCACAGAAGAGGCGCTCGCGCCATTTTGAAGACAACGCGCAGCCTCGGTTTTTTCTCTTTCAACGAAAGGCGCTTGCGCCTCTTCAGCGAGCCGTGAGCCACCGGTGGAAAGTGAGAGGTCATTTCGGAGCACCGTATTGATCCGTGCGTCGGAGAAATGGAACAGGCGGACTGTGGGCGAGACTTCTGAGATGCGTTTGAAATACCAGGCGAGAAAGGGACTGTGTGATTGGAATTACAGTGTTAAATGGTGCTTGAAGTTATGATACCGTGCCAAGCGAAAACGGTGCTCTTACTGCGAGGTCGTTCTTATTCGAAGTGCTCTTATATCGGCCCCCCCCCCCCCCCCCCCCCCCCCTGTACCGCACCGCACTGCTAGACTTGGCCCATGGCAAAAGTTTAGCCAAATATGGGGATTTACACCACTGCTAGACTTGCTCTTAGAGCACGTCTAGCAGTGGTGCTTCTGCAAGGGCACAAGCACTTGTAGACGTCCTGCAAGCACGACGTCTACAGGTCCGTTTCACATCAGAGAAGCTCTGCGATCCCCTGCCAACGGCGTGGGTTCCCATCCCGAGTCACCTGTTGTCGACAAACGCGTCCCACAACTCGGCTGCAATGCAATGCTTAGTCTCAGTCCGCGTTCATACTGCCTGACAAAAATTTGTGGCGTTTTGGTACTAGAGCTCTACCGCACTACGCCACAGCTCACTCGCCGCGTTTAGTATAGTGAAAGCGTACGTTCTCTGGAGGGTAAAACTAGTCTGGATAGCGACCTTCACATCCGCAGCATCCGCATGCCGAGTGGCTGCGCGGTGCAAATACAAGCTTTCCCCCTTGTCGCGAGCTCTAGGATTTGGAGAGGAAGCCCGCATTGAGACTCTAGCCGCTCGTCGAGACAACAAGCGAGCAGAGGGGATGAAAGTAAACTAGATCTTAGTGCCAGATCTTAATGCCAAGCCAACCTTCTGCGTTTGAACATCGCAGACGAAACACATGTCGACCCTAGTCGCACAAATATTTACATTCCTTGTGCCTTTGCAGCCTCCTCGGCCATCTCCTTCTGGTGTTCTTGGAACCGTTCGCCGGCCCTTGCCGCAAACTTGACGAATTTCTCGCTGCATTTCCGAATGCACGCTTCCTGCTCGACCACGCCACATCGGACCAATACGTATGAAAAAACATCGTCAGACGGATCGGAAACGGCCTTGTATACGTAATGCGTTGTGTCAACGTGGACATAAACTTACCTCCTTGCCGTCGAGCTTGCGCGATCGGAACGTTTCGACGCAATGGCCGAAGCAGCGCTCGACCAGTTCGTTGTACATGCGCAGCGAGTCCACCATCTGCATCTCTTGCATCATTTGCATCATCCGCATCTGCTCCTGGCTCTGCATCGTCGAGCCCCCCAACCCGCTCATTCCTCCCATCCCGCCCATTCCGCCGAGACCAGCCATTGTGATCTCCTTGAAGTCTGAAGAAAGCGATGGACTAGAACCGACTAACAGCTCGATTTAGAAGGTAAAGAGAAGCAGAAACACGACACGACCAGTGGGGCAGTGAGGGGGGCCTGCGGTGCGGCGGCGATGATAAGATCTGCTTGCCGAATTGAGTTTTTAGATGGCCTTCTCATACCGCCCGATACACGTATTCTCGCTGGACAAGCTATCGTAGTCCACAGCAATTCCGCTCTAGGGCGTCTAGTCCTACAGATCAGGCATTTGCCATGTTTGTTTGCTTGGACGGCATCTCTCTAGCAGGTCACCTTCGTGGGAGTTGCGCTGCTACTCACTTCACCCTGTGCAAGTAAAAGCGGGCCCCCGCTTCTCTAAGCCCACGCCTTTGACTAGTTTCTCCGGCTTGCAAAATTTCTTAAGAATTGATGAACATGCGCAAGCAGCACCACAGGAGCTGTGCGAAGCTATCACCGGTGTTCAAGGGAGATATCGGTTCACTGTAGATCATTTCTTCTCCCAGTTTCAGACAACACAGATGAATACTTTCAGAACGATTCTTTCGTCGTCCAGCAAGCAAATGGCGGTTCCGCAATGGTGTAAGAGTGCTCGCAACGGCGCCTGGGTCCCGGGCATCCGCCTCACTCACCAACGTTCTTCCTCAAACCCAACAAAACTCTTTCGCAGAAACTCAACAATTCATCTTCTGGGCACCATGCACATAGCAGAAGCGTCCGCCGTTGCCGCACGTCACCTCATCCAACACGAGCACGCCAAAGGCACCCTCGGTGGCGTATTTCTCGAGCTCGACTCTCCGCGGTTTCAAAGACTTCGGGACTTGCAGAACCAGCAAGCCGACGAATCCATGTTTTCTCACGCCATGTCAATTCTATCACGACCGTCGCAAAACCCTGTCGCGTCAATTGTCGAGCTCGCCTTCACGACCATGTACAGAACGCTTCATCGACTGGGGTTTGGAAGCGGTGTTGAATTTAAGGCAGCGATTGAGGTTGCCGAACGGCACAATATCCCTATCGTGCTCGGAGATCAGCACGTGCAGACTACTTTGAGGAGGCTTGCCGATGGTTTTGGTAAAGACTTTGATCTGCCCCGTTTGATGTCCATCGTCTTGTCCCAGGCGTCAAAGACCGCTCGCCCTGAAACGGATACAGAGAGGAAGATTCGTCTAGCGTTTCAGTCAATCGCCCAGGGTGATGTTACGCAAGCGCAAGAACGGCTTGCAAAGCTCATCGATCAAGAAAGCGTGCGTGAGATCATGCGGCCAATGCAAAAATATGCTCCCAATGTGACAAATGCTATTTTGCACGAACGAGATGTAGTTATGGCCGAAAACCTCATATCTGCGGCTGATAACTTGCCCCCAGGCAAGAACAGTATAGTCGCAATTGTTGGCCTGGCACACATGGACGGAATATGTAGCGAATGGCAAAAGAGAAACATGATCAAAGAGTATCAGTCATCAGATCGCAGTTGAGGAAGAGACCTCGAGACTTCAAGATTAGTGTAGCCGTCACGCAGAGATGAGGCTCTTAAGTTCTTGTTGCAATCCGTTTACGATTAGGCCGGTCAAAGGAGACTAGTGCGTCGAGGTGTTGTATGTCTCCGATTTCACAACTTTGAGGTGCAAGGTGCCATCTAAGTGTCTACAACGCGTCTTCAGAGGCCTCTCAGGAAGATGAGGGCTTTTGGTCGAGAAATTGCGTTTGGGTGGTTATTCAGTTGCTCATTCTGAGCAATAGCATGCCCCAGGTGTCTGCTTCGCAATTATGGAGGGGCGCGCAGGCCGGTGGACATCTTCAAGTTGTTCCGGGCTTCTCAAAAATCCATACACCCACTCTGGTTTTCTACAGGTGGGAATCCTTGCCAGACAGTCTATATGAACGATCTCGACCAAAGCAATGATCCTATCCTCAAAGCCTGCCAACAACAGTTTTCTCACTTCCGCCATGATACTTTCATGCCAGTACGCACAAATGAAGGAGAGCAAGATGTGGTTCTTTGAAGACGGAGTTGGACTCCGCGCTGAACAAATACGAAATTCCTTTTCAACTTCTTAACTAAATAAAACTGCAGTGTTCTCAACTGCCAAACTCTTCAACACACAGCTAGGAATCACTTGAGGGTGAGGCAAGCGACTGTGCAGTCGTCTCCTGGGTCGCCGTACTTTCTAGCTGTCCGTAACATTTCTTCGCAAACCTTTTTCGCAGTTCTCTTTCTGCCTGGTCTCTTTGCCGCTGCCTTCCAAACGTCCTTCTCGTTTAGACCCGTGTGATCCCACAACCCATCGGAAGCAAGGACGATAGCGCTATCTTCTTTGCCTATCGCAAACGACTCAATATGTGGTTCTGATATACAACCGAATTGATGCATGTCCCGGTCCCCAATCGTTCGAGAAACCGCAAGCCCCTGTGTGTTAAGGAACGCACCAAGTGGTAACAACAGATTAGGAGGTTAGAACATCTGCTACAACTCGCGGTATGGGAGGGGTAGTTTCCTATCCATTCTGGTCCTTAGCGGGCACGCAAGGAGCAAACTTACGTTCTTCTGCTCCTTGTCCACAACATATCCTTCAAGGACGTGGCCTCCCGCTGCGGTAATTCTAGCCGCTTCGTCTTCGTTGACGGGCCGATGGACGGGGCTTGCGTATCGAGAGCAAACTTTCCCGATACCATCGTCTGACAAGAGGAGGACTTTGGAATCCCCCACATTCGCGATGACAAGCTGCTCGTCCTTAACAATAGCAATCGACGCTGTTGTCCCGCTATCCATCCCACATTGCGCAGAATTAAGCGCCGCGGTCACTTCTTCAAACGCCTCCCGGACGACCGTCTCCAAGTCTGCGCTTTGGTCGTCCATGAGTTTCCGGTCAATCGCGAAGTTCATCCTTTCCGAGGCTAGGGCGCTAGCTTGCTCGCCCTGTGGCCCATGTCCATCGAACACGCCGATTAGGAAGACACCAGGTAGCCGCCTCGGATTTCTCCTTCTGCGCATCGTATGGAAGGCTGTGACGTCTGGGCGCATGGTCCTGCATGCGCTATCCTGATTTGGGATGTCATCCGCGAGATGCATTTGCCCTATGACTGAGGCATAGCTACTGCTAATGACAGGAGCCATCTTCCAACCGACTTTTTCTGCAAGGTTTGAAAAGAAAGAAGGTAGCATCATGGGAAATCGTTGGAAGCCGAAACTTAATGGCAGCGAACTCCTATGTGAGGTAGGTGCGAAGATCAAAGACCGGTGGTTGCTTTCCACGAGGAGGACTTAATGGGAAGTTTGGATCTTGAATGAACAATTGCTGTGTTTCAACAGCAACCACAACACGCACTTCCGTCGCAAAACAAAAAAGTTTTATTAGCGTTCTTTGAACCGTAGTTGGAGTGAAGTGGAAGTGAAGTGGAAGTGAAATGGAGGAATGAGGAGCGAAGTGAGGGACTGAAGTGAAAGAGTGGAGTTAGAGTGTGGAATGAACGATTGATGTGGTTCAACAACGATCAGAGCGGGCACTTCGGCGGTTGTGCAAATGTTCTTTAAATAACGATCGTTTCCGTGGATGAGCGACGGATGGGCGTATTCATAGCAAATATTTGTGAACACCTCTCCCAGCCAAGATGCTCAAAATCTCTCTTGCATGTCAAGCACGGAGAGGAAGACCGAACGCGGTCGACTGTCTGTAAGTCACGCAGGAGATGTCATATTCCAGATGTGATGCCTTGGGCTGTGCAAAATTACTTCTGCTTCTATTGACTCCCACAAACCCCTTTTCTTTTGATGTGAAAATGAATAATGCAAGAAGAAACTTAGCACAAAATGCAAGGCATTCACACATTCCTGAAGTACACTTACACGCAACCAGATTTCGTACATTACTTAGCTGCTGGTTCCGGTATCGCCTAAACATACTCTGGGTATTTTTGGGGGCAACGCATAATTTACATGACGTTTTAGTGGCAAACTTTCTGTTTCACGCTCAGTATAGTAACAGCTCCTAATGACAAATGGTGTACATTGTCCGACTTTAAACAGTCTATGCAGATAGTGCTGGGAATGTCGGTGCGCCTTTAGCTGTACCACGAATGATATTATTCCGTTTATGAAGAGGACCGGGTTGAGCAAGATCCCCTCGAAAGCGGCATGAGGCAGTGCCTCTGAACCTGCCCCTCTTTTGTGACTACAGTACACTCTTTTGTCTCGAAACTGACGGCTGATAGCGGAACACGAAATATTCATGTTTAATGTCTCGGTGGATTGAGCATGACAATTTTTATGGCCACTCTACTGACTACGCTACCCTGCGCTCCTGGCGTTCACGAGCACTTGCAGTCATCTCTTCTATCAGCAATGATGCCTGTACACAAAGCTCAAGTCTGCAGCTATCTGTGAAGTGATGGACCGATGCAGTTTAAGTATTCGATAGTTTGGAATGTTTACCCGAATGTCAAATGTCAAAGTAAGTCAAGTCAGAGCGAAAACGGGACCAAGCCGCAGATAAAAGAACTCTTCCTCGGTATTGATGGAAGGTGCAGTATGCTCGTAGTGATGCGGCTGGCGATTTAAAGCTTTTGAACCAGACAGACTTTCGCAACGATTTCATGCGAGGACTTTTCTTTTGTCAATGTGGAATTTTATCCATACACACTGCAGTATACAAGTATATCGTGCTGCAGTGTGTATGGACAAAATTCGAGAGACTACGAGTACTGTGCTATACTGTACTGTACTAAAAGGTACACCATTGGTACCTCCGAAGGTACAGTACACAATCTCTAAAGCGCGCGTTCGACGTCTTTCTCATGCAGGCACTCGCACATCTTACGATCTTGTCACACATCTGGTCGCCTGCCGCGGTCATCGTTGAGAATGCCTCCATCCGCGGGGGCCGAACAATACCGCGAGTCCTTGGAATATATGGGGCAGGCTGGAGCAACAGTTGGTTTCGTGTTTGCCCAGCCCCTTGCAGGATTCCTGCGTCCGGCAGTCTCAGAGCGGTGCTTTCCGCCCTCTTCCTCAAGGTGTATTCCAGGATTTGTTGTAACTTCGCCAAGGATCCCTTCAATATGCGCTTTACAAGAATTGCGAGACGGAAATTCTCGCCGCTCGCCCATTTTTGATCGATATGCTGGAGGAAACGGTCCGCTGAGCGCCGAGTTTCTATCGGTGTCTGGTGCTCTTTCGACTATTGTTGCGGTCGCTGCCTTGCTACCTATTATGTTTGGATTCCTCGGAAGATTTGTGATTCAAGATCCGCTTGGAAAGACATTATGTGTATCGTTATCATCATTTGCATACGGGCTCTTGCTGGCACGATTCGATTTGGGCAAAGCGTCATCTCTCAGGCTCACAGTAGCCTTCAGCTTATTGATGCGTTTCATTTGTATACCAGTCCTTTCGCATATGGTAGCCATTGCTGGGTATGCGCTTTTGAAGGTCAAAGCTGCTAAAATGGCGGCTGCTGTCGCTACAGCTGCTGCTGCTGCCAAGGCGCCAGCTACTGTCAAAGCAACAACTGCTAGTCTGTCACTACCAGCTGGCGTGCTCTCTTCTCTTTTCTTATTGTCAACGACACCAATTGGCTATTCACCCTCCGCCGCAATGCTTTCCTTACATGTACATACCACTTTATTCGCCATTCTTACCGTTCTAACCCTAATTTTATTCCCGTTACTGCCGTGCATCTCGCATGGGATCAGTTTATGGGCACATAAGTCTGCTTTCTTGAATATCGGTACTATCCTGCCCAAAGTAGCACCCCCTCCAGGTATCCTTCATCTGTTTGCGACCACAACAGCACCAGTTTTACTTGGGCTTGGGCTAAGCAAGATCGTGTCTCGGCGATGGGCTGCAATTTTAGGATTCTGCGCCCTTCCTGTGGCATGGACAAGCTCTCTTTTGTTGCTTGCATCGGCAGTGATTGAGGTGGTAGCAGGTAATGCAACTGGGCTAGCTGGGAGTGTTGGACTTTGTGGGGGCGTCGTGTTGATGATGATGCTGGTGGGCCGTGCTTTAGGGTCAGCCCTTCTTCTTGATGGGAGGGCCAAGCGAACTCTTATATTATATTTATGCACGCAAGGTACTGTCATTGGAACAGGCATCGCTCCCACTGGATTTCCCTCGGCACCGCTTGTGGCTTCGACGCTGGTCGGTCTCATATTTGCGGTGGTCATGGGAAGAGCATGGAGCCATGTTGTCATCAGGACAAACAATACTACAATTCCATAGTAGAGGTTCGTTTTTCTCTTGTGTGTGTCTCTCTTAGGAAGGGGAATGCTTCACACTCCCCCCTTTTGATGAACGGCCTGTCATTACCCCTCGCGTGCGATCGTCATGAAGTTCTCTGTGTGACTGTCGGAACCCAAAATTCGATTTCAGGCCTGACATTAGGGGAAATATGATGGCAGATACTGGAATTGGTGGGTGCATGCACATGTAAATCAGTGGGCTTATAGCTGAGGGTTTAGGCCAAGTGAAGTCATGCTTTGCTCTGGGCTTAATTGTTTTGTCATAATAATCAATCGGAATGATGCTTTACCACGCGGGAGCAAACAGGCCATTTCGCAGAACGGAATACTCGGTACAATTCCTCGGGAGAGCAAGTCGGTGACTTTCCGTATGCATCACAGACATTCATACGTGTTGCCCTACTACATTTGTGAGATTCACAGAAGCTTAGGTATACGTCGCCCTCGCAAACAATACGAACCTGTGGCGTACGCGATTCATATGTATTCTGCTTCCCTACAGCAGCGGAGTCGCAATGTTCGAAAGTAAACTGTCCTTTTGATCCTACTATTCACAATCTCATGCATCGAAAAACACGGAAACAAGAAGAAGTATGACGAACGTTGGCCTACGAAGCTAACACTTCCCGCAAATGTTCATACCGTGAGACAAGAGCTTTATCGCTGTCATCAAACCTTCTGACATGCGTCGGTTTAGTTCTGAGCTCGCCCATACTTCTGGTGCCGAGCGCGGGTTCGAAGCTCTCATTCGAGTCTGGCCGCTTCAGAATCGGCGGGTCTGTCGACGTCAACAAGCCCTGCTGCGCCGCATCGAACGCATCTATGACGCCGCCCTCAACCTCATCGGCGCCATCTCCGCCCAAAAGCCTACTTCCGCGCACGCCCCCACTCTCCACGCTGCCCGAGAGCGGCTCTGGCATAGCGAGCGGGTACGCCGACGACACGTGCTCGGAGGCCGCGAGCGGGTACACGTCGGCCGTGTCCCTTGTGTACGTGGGCGGCACGACAGGCGCGGCGTACATCCTGCCCCTCGACGGCTGCTGTTGCTGCGGCGGGAGGGGCGGCGACGCCGACACGTTCGGCACGGGCCCGCGCTCCGAGCTGAGCTGCGGCGACTCGGGCGTGGCATAGTCCGAGGAGCCGGCGGACAGGGGCGTGGTCTGGGCGCGGCGCATGTCCGTGGCGGGGTGGGCCTCTGCGGTGGGCGGCGGCGACGCGGCCAGGGTCGGCACGGGGGCGGTGCGCGCGCGCGCGGGGGGCGAGGGGCTCGGCGCAGGTGGCGAGGTGGAGGCGGCAGCGGCGGCGGCGGCGGGGACGGTGGTCGGGTCCGCGGCGATGTCGATACCGTAGTACTGCTTGACGGCGGAGGCGAGCTCCTTGTCGACCTCGAGGCGGGTGGCTGGGGCCGGGGACAGGGCGTCGCGCACGGTGGCGTTGACGAGCGGGTAGAGGTCGCCCTCTGCGTTCTGGATCTGGGCGACGTGAACGGGGCCGAACTGCTCCTTGAGGAAGGCGACGGTGTCGGCGAGGTAGTTCATGCGCAGGCGGGCGGCGGCGAAGACGAGGGTGACGATGCCGGAGCGGGCCGGCTCCGGGATCTGGACGAGCGAGGTGTAGCCCGCGAGCGGCTCGGAGCGCTGGTACAGGGCGTTGGACAGCGGGTTGAGTGCGGCCAGGGCGGTGACGGTGCGGTTGTTGCGGATGGCGGACTCTGCAAAGTTGCGGGCGCTGGCAGGATCGTCGGTGCGGTACAGACGCGCAGCCTCCTTCCGGTCGTCGTTGATCATCTGGACGTAGATGCCGCAGTGGTGCTCCGTGCCTAGGGCGTTCGCGCGCAGGTGCGAGCGCCACCGCGTGTCGTCCCAGTCCGGCAGCGGCTCGATGGCGGCCGGGCGCGGGGTCTTCTTGCGGAAGAGGCCCATTGGTGGGAAGGTGGGTGGGTGGGTGGGGGGAAGGGGAAGGGGAAGGGGGGGAGATGCGGGAGGGGGGAGGGCGCGTGGTCAAGGAAAAAAGCAGGTGGAACGAGATAAGAGAAAGGAGATAAGATGGGCGTTTCGGCTCCCGAAGAGGTGGGGGAGAAGGGGGGAGGGCGCGTGGTGAAGGAAATGCAGATGGAACGGGATAAGATGGAGGTTTCGGCTGGCGGAGAGGCGGCTGCACGCGGCTGCACGCGGCTGCACGCCCCCCTCTGGCTTGAAGAAAGGAAGGGGAGGGCGGGAGCGGGGCGAGGACACGACGAGGCGGTGGCACGGTCCACCGGTGGTTAGCGGGGTGCGATTGGGCGAGGCGGGCAATGGTGCGGGTCGGAGATTTGAATTGGGCAGAGTCGATTCTTGCGCAAAGCGGATCAACGAGCACAGACGCCTGCCGGTGCCGGTGCTGGTGCCGGTGCGCCAGCTCCACGTCATTGCCATTGCTGTTGCCGCCGCGCGTTGCCGCCGCGCGTTGCCGCCGCGCGTTGCCCCCGCGCGTGGCACCTTCGGCGAGACTACAGTATCATACTGTACTGTACCCAACGGTACTGTACACACTCCCGCTGCGGAACAGACTGCCACTGCGCCCTGCCGTGGCGGTGGCGGTGGCAGTGGCGTTGGCGAACCCGTTGGCAGACCAGACTGCCAACACGAGGACCCCTCCCGAGACCCCTCATACTCTCAGCAATCTGGACCGCGTGCCACCGCTCGGCGACTCATCGAATACTTAGCTGACACTCGCCAACGCATTACAGTCACACGTTCCCTCGTTGCACACGTGTCCACCCATTTCCCGTCGACCCTGTCATACCTTCCCCTCCCAAGATCAACATCGCCCTCCTGCTCATCCCCTGCCTCATCCCCTGCCTCATCCCCTCCCTCCGACGGCAAACCCCGCCTCGTACACACCTGCTCGCTCGCCAAATGTTACGCCATCTCGCCGCCCGATTCGCCTTCCCGGCGCGCGCATCGCCGCGAGCCGGAGCCGCGCCCGGCGCGCTGTCGTCGGCGCTGCGGCGCCGCTCCTCCGTCTCGGCGGAGCCGCCGGGCGGCGCGGCGGCGCCGCCGCCGCCGCCCTCGGCGCCGAGCCGGTGGCAGCGGCTCAAGCGCAAGCGGCGCGCGGAGCGCACGCCGGCGAACCGCACGGCGTACCGCTTCGACCGCGCGGCGCCCGCGCCGCTGCCGGCCGCGCTGGCGCACGTGCGCGCCGCCGCGTGGGCCGCCTTCGACGAGTCGCTCGAGCTCGTCCTCCGCCTCAACATCGACCCGCGCAAGGCCGCCGAGAACATCCGCGGCGCCGCCCTGCTGCCGCACGGCACCGGCCGCCCGGCCCGCGTCGCCGCCTTCGCGGAGGGCATCGACGCAGACGCCGCGCGCGCCGCCGGCGCAGACCGCGTGGGCGCAGACGACCTCGTCGCTCAGATCGCCGCAGACCGCGCTAAATCGCTCAAGGGCTTCCACGCATGCGTCGCCGTGCCGGAGCTGCTGCCCACCGTCGCCGCACGCGTCGGCATGCTGCTCGGACCGAAGGGCCTCATGCCCGCGAAGAAGGACGGTACCGTCGGACCGGATGTCGCTCAGATCGTCACCAGGCTGAAGAGTGGCCAGATCAGGTTTCGCACCGATCGCGCGGGTAACGTCCACTTGATTGTGGGAAAGCTTAGCTTTGCGGATCACTTGCTCATCGACAATGTTTGTGCGGCCACCGCCGCCATTATGGACGCCAGGCCGCACACGGTGAAGAAGAAATACTTGGAGAAAGCGTTTCTGTGCTCGAGCATGGGGCCGTCGGTCAAGCTTGACCTGGTTCAGCTCGCGCGCGCCGTCAACGACCACCGGGGCTGACTGCTCGTCTCGCGGGAGTCGCTGCTAGAGCCATAATCTCTTGCATCTGTGTCCGATTCGGTTGCCCACGTTTTGCGCTCAACCGCTGTCCTTCGGAACCCAATTTTGTATCGCAGGAACGCCTGCGCAGCTATTACTGATCACCTGTACGAGAAACTGTAACAGAAATGCCTGCATTTGTCGCCTTGCCGGCGGCGATTGCACGCAATAAGATATACCATTGCAGTTTAGTTGTCAGATCCCATCACATGCTCCCGTTGCAGATTGGCATGCGCTCATCAGGCAACCACACTGACACCCTGAATGTATCCCGCTTCTTCGGAGACTTTTTCAACCTGCTCAATGTTCTTAATTCAATGTCATGGTGGTCTCCATAGCAAAATCATGCATCAGAGCTACAGAACACAATCATCAAGTACCGTGAAGACAACATATATAGAGTTTCGCTTCTACGATCGCGGGCTTGTCGGCGGCCCGAAGCGAAAATGAGCAAGCAGATCAAGCACCAGGAGCATGTTCTACATAGGGCACAGAGGATTTCGAGCATGCTTATCAAATGCTTCTTTGGCCTTGTTCACCATCTCAATAATATAACTATAAACACAGCCCGGGCTTCGTCTGTGAGTGCGGGGATGGATTTTCAAACAACTACCATCTCGTTTTTACTGCTGATGCTGCCATCCAATTCTTGTGAATCCTGAGATGTTGCTTCTGTTGACTTATTGGATAGACAGCAACTAATCGTCATAAGCACCACTCTCTTTGTACATAGCTGTTTTGTCAACTCATGGGCTAGCTCATTTTAGTTCATGCTGCGTTTGAGCTTTGCAGACCTAACAGCATAGGGCTTGTTTCGCAGCTGAATGTCTAATCTGGCTCTAGCTAGCTAGAGATCTATCTAACAAGTGCCGAATAAAAAGCTACATTTTAATTCGTTGATTATGAAAGGCCTATCGTGGACGTTTGGCCTCAGACTCTCGCACGTGTAATGGCCCCCTACTTGCAAATCGGAATTGCCATGCAGCCCGCAGAGCTGGCCTTGCCTTGCCGTCACCCTCTGCAGCGTTAATCCCCTCGACTTGCTCTAGAGAGACTATCAGAGAAGCACCGCACTCACCCTTCTCGCTTTGAACCATCTCACTTCGTGTCCTCAAATTCCCTGCTGCAGCCACCCCACCATGCATTTCTCTTCAAGCCTCGCCGATTTCATGGAACGCCTCAATGAGGGACCCGCGGGCATTGACGACGCTCTAGCCGCCGTCGAGAAATGCGCCGCAGACTCAGGGACCGTCTTAGATTTACAGCAGATGACCCTCACCGATGAGGATCTCCAGCTGATTTCCACCAAGTTCGACTCCCTTGCCGCTCATGTCACAAAGCTCAACCTGTTTATGAACGAGTACGTCCCAGCCACGCCTATCCAATCCGAGTCGGTATGAAACTAGGTCATCGCGACTAACCGTCAGAACTACGTACGACTCTCATTTACTATCGCGTACCGAACTGTCACCACAGAATTTCTGTCTTGCCAGCCTCTATCACAGCGCTTTCCAACTTAGAAATTCTCCATGCCGGGTGCAACCCCTTAGAAAGCGTAGACGCGGCCTTGTTCGCGGCCCTACCAAAGCTCACAGAGATTGATGTCGGGTTCAGTGAAATCCTCAGTCAACTTCCTGACAGTTTCAGCAACCTTCCTTCTTTGAAAGTGCTCAAGGCAGGCAACGGACGGCTCACGTCCTTACCGCCAAGTTTGTTCAAATGTTCCAACCTGGAAGAGCTCTATCTCTATGGGAACAGTCTCAAAGGCGTCAGCGAAGAAATAGGAGAGCTGAGAAAGCTTAAGCTTTTGAATCTCGGCAGAAACCAAATCGCCAGTCTTCCGGACAGCATTGGAAGGTGTGGTGTACTTGAGACCTTACATTTGTATGAAAATTGCCTTTCATCGTTGCCCAAGGGTGTGGTGAGGTTGGAGCACTTGCAAACACTCAACGTGAACTCAAATGCAAATCTTCCCATGCCCCCACGCGAAGTACGATGTTTGGCGGCGGCAAAGTCTACTGCATCCTTCCTGGCCACCGGCGTAGCCAATGGGACAACCATTTGATGAGCGATTGCAAGAATTCAGCGGGAGCAAGACTCCAGGGTAGCTCTAGTAAACTGCAAAGGCGAAACGGTTTGTCCCAACCCAGAATCGTAAAAAAATTGTGTTGAGCAATGGTCCCTTTATTCGTCTTACTTACAAGACAATTGCGTGTGTTGGACCCAATACTCGTACTGCTCATCTACAACGTTATCGCAATAGTTTTCGGAATCTTTCGGCTAAGAGTTCGAGGTTGGCCTTTTCCAATATATACTTTTCGCGTGTTTTAGTATTCTTGCAACGAACCTTTTCGGGGACGCGGCTCTCGTATCCCTCCGCTGACATCTTCTTGTCATATTCTTCAACGAGCATTCCTTTTTCTGAAGCTGCAGCCTCCAGTTTTGTGATTTCAGACTCAAAGTCCACGAGCCCAGTGAGGATAACGTGAACTTCGTATTTCTCATCCACAACAGTAACCGCAGCCCCATTGGGGGGCTCAGTCACACCACTGATACCAGCAGTCGTTTTACCACAAGAGGTGAGCGTTTCAACGTACTGGGGAACAATTCGCTTCGCTGCTTCCTCATCCGCAGCCAGTATAAACACTTCTGGGGCACTCGAAGGTTTCAAGCCATATTCAGCCTTCACAGCTCGTATAGCTTGTACGTTCTTCATGGTGGATTCTAACCTTAGCTCCGCTGCCTCGAAATGCCGACTTTCGCTCTGCTTCGGGAAAGGTGCAATACATATCGACTCAGGCACAGTGGGCCCAGGCAGTCTCTGGTATAGCTCTTCAGTTACAAAAGGAATCATTGGGTGTAACATTCGTATTCCCGCGCTGAGACATTCGAATAGAACCATTTTGGCAGCAGTCTTCTTGCCTTCGTCCTCTCCACGCATGACGGGTTTCAAACCTTCCAGATAGATGCCGCATAACTCACTCATCCAAAAGCGGTACGCAATACTAACCGCATCCCCAAGATTATAGGCAACAAATGCATCATTCACCTCCGCACAAGTCGCATTCAACCGCGACAGGATCCAAAGATCCAGAGTTTCACCAAGCTCTATCGCCCCCTGAAGCCCATTGTTCGAGAACACAAAGTCCTTCTCTAAGTTTCCGAGAGCAAATTTCGTTGCGTTCCACAATTTGTTACAGAAATTTCTATATCCGATAACACGTGCGACATCCAGATTGATATCTCCGCCCTGTGTCATGTAAGCAAGAAGGCCAATTCGCAAAGCATCGGCACCGCACTCTGGTATGCCACCTGGGTAGTCTTCCTTTTGATCCGCTATTGCCCGCTGGATTTCCTTGGCGGGCAAATTTGACTTTTTGATTTTCTCCGAGAGCTCATTAAGAGTTGCACCGTTGATCACTTCGAGAGGATCTATCACATTCCCAAGAGATTTAGACATTTTGCGACCTTTCTTGTCTCGGACCAGAGAGTGCAGTAGTACCGTCTTGAAAGGCAACTTGCCCGTGAGGCCTATGCCCATCATGACCATTCTTGCGACCCAGAAGAACAAAATGTCGTGACCAGTTTCTAAAAGGGTAGTCGGATAGAAGGCTTCTAAATCCTTGGTCTTCTCAGGCCATCCAAAGACAGAGAAAGGGAACAAACCAGAAGAAAACCATGTGTCAAGCACATCTTCGTCCTGCTTCAGTTTGATCGCATCTGTCACCACATTAAGCCTCGCGGCAGCACGCTCCCGAGCTTCAGCTTCAGTTCTCCCCACAACCCATATAGTCTCAGATGGCGCACCATCTGTAGAGGCCTCGTATGCTGGGATTCGATGGCCCCACCAAAGCTGTCTAGAGATACACCAGTCCCGAATGTTGTCGAGCCATCTGAACCACGTGTCTTGAAATTGCGACGGCACAACTTCCAAGTCACTGTTCCGCACGGCATCAGCGCTTCTCTTCGCAAGTTCTTTGCAATTGACCCACCACTGCGGGATAAGAAGTGGTTCAACAACATCCCCCGAGCGAGAGCAAACTGGCAAGCTCATAGCATTCGGCTCCTTTCCGCGAAGCAGGTCCATCCCTGCCAGCTCTTTTTCAACTTCCACACGCGCCACATATCTCTTCATACCGTTGAACTTACCACCATTTTCGTTAATGTCCCCGTCCAAGTTTATGATGGTAACCTCAGGAAGGCCATTTCGTCTTCCACACGCAAAATCGTTCGGGTCGTGCGCTGGGGTAACCTTTACGGCACCAGTTCCAAAAGACATGTCAACAAGTTCCCCGTCGGCGATTATAGGAAGCTTACGGTCCACGAAAGGATGAATCAAATTCTTACCAATCAAGTGCTTGTATCGCGGATCGTCAGGGTGGACGGCCACGGCAGTATCCCCAAGCATAGTCTCTAGGCGTGTGGTCGCCACGACGAGCTCTTCATCTAAACCATCAACTTTGTATGCGAAGTTGGTGAGCACGCCAAACTCAATCAGATCTTCGTGGCCAGGAACCTTTCTCTTTGTGAATGCTTCAATTTCAATATTGTCCACCTCAATATCGGAGATAGCTGTGTGCAATGTACTAGACCAGTTGACGAGCCTGGTATCACGGTAAATGAGTCCATCATCATAAAACTTGACAAACGCTTCCCTCACGGCATTGTTAAGCTTATCACTCATCGTGAACTCTTCTCTCTCCCAATCAAGAGAGCTTCCGATTCTTCGCAATTGGTGAACAATCTTCCCACCGTACTCGGTCTTCCAATCCCAGACCTGTTTCACAAACCCATCCCTACCCAACGCATGACGATCGATTCCGCGCTCTTTCTTCAGCTGCTTCTCCACCACAGCCTGTGTCGCAATACCGGCATGATCGACACCCGGCAACCACATTGTGACCTTGCCGTGCATACGATGGTAGCGCGCAAGCGCGTCCTCTACAGCACACATGAGGGCATGCCCTAAATGCAAGCTCCCTGTCACATTAGGAGGAGGGATGACCATAATGAAAGCATCTTCCGGCCCTTTCCCTTCCATATCCTTGGCATCGGCATGAAAGTATCCCTGCTTCTCCCACCACTCATACCAAGCCGATTCCACCGCTCTGGGATGGTAGGTAGGGGCCATGACGTCGTCTAAGATCTTCTTATCGCCGGCGGGTGTGTTGTTGACAAAATTGGCCATAGCGTCAGCGGCGGCCTGAGCGGCGGCCTTCTTCTTCTTCTTGTCTGAGGTCGCGCCGTCCTTCTTTGGGGTGGCCTGAGCACGATTGGCGGCGGCCGCCGCCTTCGCCTGCTTCTTCCGAAGCGCTGCGAGTTGTTTTTCAAGTTTCTTGCGTCGGGATAAAGGAAGGGCATCCTTTTCCTCCTGCGACATGGTCTGGTATTGTTCCAGCGTCACAGGCGTCGGTGCTGGCGTGGGACCGGACGATGCCTGCGCTTCAGCGGCAGGCGCCGCTGCTGTCGCGTCCTGCTGGCCAGCCATTTTTGTTTTTCTCACTCGCGACCAGCTTCGACTCTGGTTCACAAGCTAGTCTCAACTGGAGAGGGGATCGTGGGGAATGTCGGACGAAGATGAGGTCGCATTGGCTTTGGGGCGACGACGGTATGCACGGCACAAGAGTGTTAAGAGTCAGGCCCTGAGGGTCTCCAATGCAGCACCGCCGATAGTGAGGCAATGCAGCGCCGCCAATAAAAAGGGGCTGGTGGCTTGAGCACAGCAAAGCAGCGTATGATCATTTTTTAGACAACAGCGGCCCACTTCCTGAAAAATGGTCGAAATTTGTAGATTTGATGAATTGACGGACGTCGGAACTTCCTGTACGTCATATGCAGTGCTGTCCCCGGTGGCGTCCACTGCATCTTTTCCAGTGTCTAGATGACAAGCGCTTTGCCTCATACAGTATGAAGTCAGGCATGGCCTCATACAGTATGAGGCCAGTTTTTTTGCAAAAATATATACATTAAATCGAAACTTTATAAAGTTAATTTGGACACCATTTCTTTAACGTACATACCCTCGGCAATAACGTCTTGCAAAACATCGGGACAGCAATTATGAATACACAGAAAGACTAAGAACCTAACAAAATTTCGGTGCCCGGTTGACAATTGAAACAAACGTTTTCGTTTCGAAGATATCAACACATACCGTTTTGAGGTTGGTCAACAAGCTTCTTTTTCAGGCATTCAAAAAATGGCTGGAAAGAACATGCAGATTTCACAAAACTCTATCCTTCCGCAACGCAGAAGTCAACTGTGGTGGTGAGGGTATCTTTTTCCTTCTTGTTGAGCAAGCACAAGTCAAGAAAAAATAAGTTGAAAGTAGCCTCCTATGAGGTCAAATGGGCCCCATGTGAGGCCACATGTCCGATAGAAACCAGAACTTCTGCTGTGGCGGATGCGTCCTTACTCCTTCCGACATCCTCACTATGAATTATTTCGCTATCAGGCCGGAAGACGCCAAAAGCCGTATCTGCATGGAGGATAACAACACGACGCCCTCGCCCATATTGTCTGAGTCATGCAAACCTCTTCAATGCGCTATCGCACTTGATGCGCCACAGGATTCCAGTGTACGTCAAAGCACTGAATTTTAATTGGGAATTGCAGTGTTGCAGATGAACTACTACTGCATGTTATAGAATATGCATTGCAGAATGAGCATGGACTTGCTTTGCTGATTATTCTGCTCGAGCTAGCCTTCACTTGCAGATTGCAACATGTGCGGGACCCTGTGTTTTCGGCAAGACTGCCTTGAAGATCTACAGGCGTATCCCATATATCCTTTGGCAGTGAATCCTGCTCTGAAGCATTCTTTCGGCGTCCCGGCACTTTCTCTCTCGTGAGTCATCCCGTCCCCCTTCAAGTGAACAGTCCCCCTTCAAGTGAACACGTGTACAATCCTTGTACTGTACACGTGAACACGTGAAATGTGAGTGACAGAATCCATTTTCAATCATTTCATGATGCACTTAAAACTTTTCGAAATTCACGCTCTTCAGATCTAAAACAATTCACACTCCTCCCGCAACGCGTCACCCGCCGACGAGTACCGCCGTTCGCACTGCCTTTCCTCCTCTTCTATTCACCCTTCCTTCCTCTATACCCTCTTCCTTCCGTACCATCCGTGTAACTCATCCCAATTAGACCCACTCGCGGCAACCGCAATCTTACGATTTGATTATCGTCCGAGAGCAATGTCAGGCGAAACGACCATGCGCCGCCGTGGGCGCGGCTCCACCCCCGCCGAATCCACCACCACCGAAGTGACAAATGAAACCACAGACGCCGCCACCTCCGCCTCGACCGACACCAGCCCCGCCATCCCTTCCACCAAAACTGTCCCCGAGTTACTCGCCGAGGAGTCGCAAAGCAATGCCAATTTTCTTGCCCTGGCCGCGGCCGTCGTCGCCTTTTTCCTCTTCATGCTGCAAACCACCTCGCTACCGCCACCGGGTCGCGTCTACAGCGTCATGATTGACGCTGGATCAACTGGAACGCGTGCCCAGGTTTTTGCGTTCCGCCATTTGCCAGGACAGAAGGGACTCATCTTGGATGATAGCGAGGTTTTTAAAATGAAAAAGAGCATCGCCGCGCTGGGGACGGGGACGGTGGGCAGTGGTGGCGTGTTTTTCAAGCCGCTCATGGAAAAACTGAGAAAGAAGATCCCTGGCGTGCGGAGACGTCAGCGCACTCCCATCGCCTTGCATGCGACCGCAGGGCTGAGGTTGATTGGAGAGGAGCAAGCTGAAACGGCATTGGAGGAGGCTAGGAAGGCTTTGAATATCAGCGGTTTCTTGTTTCAAGAGGATTGGGTGTCTATACTTGAAGAGCAAGAGGAGGCGTCGCACGCCTGGACGACAGTCAATTTCTTGAAGGGCCACTTCCATGGGCATAAGGGGATCACCAAACGTCTTGGTGCGTTGGATCTCGGCGGCGCGAGTATGCAAATGGTTTTTGAGCGAGAAAATGGGGATGAGGCCGTCGATACAGGCGAAGAGGACGACGATAACTTGGAAGGCCGTAACGAAGCTCCAGAAAATGAAGATCTTGCTGGTGACGACGCAGTTTCCATCGAAGAAGCAGATTATACTGTTAGTGTGTTTGGCGACGACTATCCTCTGCACTCAACTAGTCACCTCGGGTTGGGACTGTTTGACTTCACGAAAAAACTGTACACCTTGTTTGATCGAGAAGGTGTGTTGGAGGAGGGCAACCCTTGCTTCAGGAAGGGCAAAGTCTTCGCTAACAAAGAGCTTCGCTTTGGGGTGCCGGGCACTGAGGAGTCGCGCACCGTGACGATGACGGGCGATGGAGACTTTGAACGCTGCGTGGCGAGTGCCGAGATCACTATTGCGACGTTTAGCAAACTTCGCAGCAAGAAAAGCGTGCTACCAAAGGGTAAACCTTTCTATGCGTTTGCCTACTTTTATGATCGCACAGTTCGCCTCGGACTCCCCATTACTCCGACAAAGGCGCAGCTGATAGCAAAAGGAAGGGAACTTTGTGAGACTCCACCCGACGTTCGCGTAGAACGAGATTTTGATCAAGCATGTGCCGAATTTTCGTACGTCTACACTCTGCTGAAAATTTTCACTGATGACTTCGCATCGAAAGATGTGCAGATCCGATTTGAGCAGTATATCGATGGCCATATGCTGGGATGGGCGCTAGGTGCCGCACTCGACATTGTTCAACCGGTGATGCACAAGCAACTAGCGCTTGAGCATGAACCATTGATTGCTGCTTGATGAGTGGCTAGAGGGGTCAACGTGATGCGGGAATGACTTAGTAACAAATACTGCAACAAGAGAGTGCGAGTGGGGCACTTGAAGAACATCGGGAGGGTTGCAACACGGGGGGCCAGGGGTAAAGCGTTTCTGTTTATATTGTGCAACTTGTGGCGATGCTGAGAACATTGTAGATGCGCATTTGCCATTACAAACCTCAGCCTTTGTTTCAAACGTGATAGCTTAGACTGACTGACAGTCTAAGCTATCACGTTTGAAATGTTGAAACGGCGCTTAGTTCTGATGAATATCGCGGCCTAGCATGAAGGAGCGAAGAGTTTACATCAGGCTTGATAAGAGGCGCTTCGCTGGTGTGAGCGCTACCCAAGTCTTGACTCCACTTGCCCCAAAACCTTTCCTCCGCGCTCGCCAAGAGGCCAACGCAGCTTCCATTGCCCTTAACATAGCGCACCCTCGGAATGCGGTAGCGAACCATAAGCTCTGCCAAAAGAACGAGCTTTGGAAGGACAGTGATTTCTTCCATCTCCTCTCCTCGACTCTGGATTTCGTCGACGGCCTGCCAGACGTCGGCCTGCGAAAACACACCACCCTTTCTACTCGCTGCTAGTGCAAACATACTGGCATCACTCCCTATCCCCAAGACGACAGCCCCCCTCTCCAGACGCGAAGCAAGAACCTCTCCCGGCGAACCCGCAAGACGTGCAATGTACTCCTTCAAAACGCAAACAGACCTGTCTCGTCGATACACAGCACGAACCGAGCTGCTCCCCAGCGCAATTGCCCTGACATGAAATGCGGCGTCCCCCTGCATCGCCCACTGGGTGCTGGCACCGCCCGAATCCCACACGACGACATCATGTCGGAACGCGCAGGGCGAATAAGCAAGCATGGCCGACGCGAAGGCGAGGGCGCCTTCGGTCTCGGGGTCAAGGATGTGGACAGGAAGCGGAAGCGAGGTGAGATACAGATGGCCGTTGCGGGCAGTACGGAAGACGGCGGTGGCGACGGCAGTGCAGGCGCTAGGGCGATAGGTAAGGGCTAAGGCGTGCAGACGGTGGAAGGCGAGGCGTGAGGCGCGCAGGGCAGCGGGGGGGAGATGGCGCGTGTCGGAGAGGGCATCGGCTAAGGCGACGCGGATGGAGGTGGACAACAGGATGGTTGGGGCGGCGTTTGGCGAAGTCAGGGCGACGACGAGCTTATGGTGGGAGGAACCTAGGTCGAAGGCGGCCCGGACAACGGACATGGCGGCACGGAGTGTTGGCGGGGATGCTGCGGTGGCGACAAAAAGGTTGGCTGTCGTGGGGGTTGATATTGTTGAAAAGAGGTTATCCTCCACCTGGGGGTGGAGTCGAGGAAAATAGTGGCACCCTTGGGTACCGTACGGATGGTACCGTACGGATGGGAGCGGAGGCTAGTTCTTTGTTGTCCAAAGGGTAGACGCGCGGTGAATGTATCGATGGACGCAGTGGATACTTTCGTGCAGGCCAACATATTGGATATTTGACGATACAACTTGTATCGTATACAGTATTGTAGGGGTCTTCAAGCGTTTATCATACTAAGATATTATAGCTTTAACGGGGTCAAAATCACAGGTTTCGCCGTTCCAACATCTCCGGCTCCACTACGTTACGCCGTCACGGTTTCGCCCATGTCACTCACTCTTTCCCCCTCCCCCTCCTCACACCCCTGTTTTCGCCGTACGATTTTGTCCCCCACCCCTCCAAATACCACTTTTCTGGCAGGAAGGTGGTATTCGGAGGGGTGGGTATATTGCAGCTGGAAGTTCCTGCTACAATATACAATTGTAACTTTCCTAATTCCGAAATATCTCGGAACGAATGCGCATTGCCATCCAATTGGCTACTTGTGCCTGGCCAAGAGACACATGGCGTATCAAACGAGCCTTCCATTGGGCGATGCACTCCTTTGCAAATCAAAAATTAAGAATTAATGCAATGGAGCTGCTTCCGGACACACCTCAAAACTTTGCGGTGTGTGCGGAAGCAGAGGCAGCTTTGAGGCTCAAAGTGCATCCCCAAACTCGTAAACCGTCGCACATTGTGACACATGGGATAGAGCAGCCGCACACGGTCACAAGCATTCCATGTCACGCTGCCTCGCACAGGCGAGCCGTTGAGAGACGCGGCAGCGTGCCGCGCGCCCCCTCCGTTGGCCCCGGCCTCCACCTCGACAACGAGCCGGAGAACCCGCTCGCCAGAACGGGGCGAGCCAGGTGGGTGCGGGTGCAAACCAAAACGACGGAAACGACGGCAATCCAATCAAGTGTTGCCAACTTCTTTCGCAATTTTGCATCCTATCTTACTATTGGTTGTTGCATCCTTTTTATTTTTCTCTCTTCCTTCTGTCCACCGCGTTCACACTCGCTGCATCCGCTCGCTGTGCAGCACCCTTGCGCGTTGCGACGCTCCACGCATGGGCGCCCGTGACAAAAGTCCCTCCATCGCTTCGAGTCAACTGCTTCCATCGCGAACGCTTTAGCTTTCACACTTGTGATTCGCTACCCTCAGAATCCTCACACAACTCTGTGAAATCCCCAATGCCAATACAGTAGCAAGATAGGATGCAAAATTGCGAAAGAAGTTGGCGACACTTAATTGCATTGCCGTCGTTTCCTACAGTATTGTCTCTCAGTATCAACCTCGACCATTCTGCATTGATGCAGAGATGCAAGCAAACGAGAATCTGCTTCACCCATAGGTGTAGATACGACGAATCTGCATTCTTGCTTTGAGGACCACTCGCTGCTATCTAAAGTATGTACCTAGTTGTTCGCCGGCAAGACTATTGCTTTATCCTATGCTGTTCGCGTGCCAGTACGACACGGCATGAACCATATGTTTTCTTTGCAAAACATCGCATACCAAAGCAGGACCCCACTCCTTCGTCGGAATGAACCAACAGATTCCTCTCTGCTCATCTCTCTATTTTCAGCGCCCTACCGCCCTGCCCTGCTACTGTTCCCAGATCTCTTAGCAAATCTTCCTGCATCACCTCGGGATCCACCACCATCTCCTCATCTCCAGCATGTCGTTCTGCTTCCAACTCTGACTTCTCATATTCTGTTACATTGTACACCTTCCCGCCCGTAGCTGAAGCGACGATAAGCCCAATTAGAGCCACAAGGACAAGAGCACCAACCAAGACCCCTGCCAGCCACCCTGGTGTCAGTCCTGAAGACGATACAATGCTCGCGCTTTTATGCGCAAATGCCGACCGCCCGCCCTCAATGGCAATGGTATCGTCCACGCTCACTTCTTCTGCGAAGATGCAGCCTCGAAGAGACCCGCTTCGGATGTATATGTCCAGCCGACGTGGAAATGACAAAGAAGCTTCCTCTGAGACGGAGACGAAGTATTCTGCTTGAAGGGAAGATGTTGTAAATCTTGTCGCATTAAATAGACCCCAGTTTGAAGTATCCGTCGATGTGTTGCTTGCAAAACAAGTTATGATAGCACTGTTCAGCTCTTCCGTGAAGTTGCCCTCCGATATAATGAGGCTCAAAAGTAGCTGCACCATGCGATCCGGTTGCTCCGGTAGATCAACCAAGACGGCAGTGTCTTTGTATTCCTTCACAGTTCGGAGCGAAAAGCAATCTCTCAAATGCTCGAAAAAGAGCCGCAAATCGGTTGCAGCATTGATAACAGTAGTGGTCGTTCTTCGTAAGAAGTGAATCTCTGTGTCTCCATACTTGCCTATCTTGTTCTTATCGATCACCGCTCCGAGCATCCCCGGCATGTCACAAGTACATAATATCAATAGAAGGTTGAGACACAGCAATGATCTCCCTTTATTCTTTCTCAGCGCAAACATGTTTGATCCCTCTCAAACCCTCAAAAGTTGTTCCCTTTATGAAACTTCTTGGATGATATTATATGCGCTTAGTCTTCACAGCCCATGAATGGAATTCGTTTCATGGAAGCAGAATTTTCCGTTTAGGGATACGAAAGTAAAATAACATTTGCGATGCCGCGGCTGCTTCTTCTGTTGAGAGGAAACAATGATCTAGCTCTAGAGTGTGTCACTGAATCGAAGGGGAAGGCTGAAATTTTCTCTTTGTATCGGCTTTTGTCAGTCGGTCAAATATTTCAAACTCAACACTAACCGATTCCTAGCCGCCCAAGCTTTTTGTCAGTCTTTCCTTGTTACGCATGGTCTATAAACATGCTACGCCTGCATGTTTCTTTTTCGTTTGCGCAAATATTGCAAAACGTATATCTAGCCATCCTTGACTGGGAACTGATCCCGCAGAAAATTTCCGTAATCACTCTTTCATTGCGTTATGGAGATGAATATAAGAGTATGTGCAGCTCAACTAGTGGCCTGGGCGAGATAAAAACAGTAGGTAATTTTGAACAGTAGCTGTAAGCGGATTCTCTACAGAATCGAGTGACATCCGATAGTCCTAATAAATGTTCCAGAATGCGAGAATGGCATCTGAAACACTATTCAGACCTTGCAAGTTTGAGCACGTTGTCCCTCAATCTGCACCTTTGGACGATAGAAAAGAGTTCATTTCTAAACTTCGGTAGTTGCCTCGAAGGCGTGACAAGTTGAACAACCACGCAGGGGACTAAATGAGACTTAGACCCCATAATGCTCGAAAGCTCTTCCTCACAAGGGCTTGAAATTGAGCATAAACAAGATCGTTGTCACCGCACAATATCAATCTCGACAATATTATGACCTTTGGCCGCGTATCACACGCTCAGATGTCTAATGTTGAGGCACAAGGCATGGCGAGGAACCGAAACGTTTGTGTTCTTTCGCGGGGAATAAGTACAATAAGAATAGAATTCTCGGCAAGTGCCCCGCCTGCTTTGTAGCAGAAGTGCAGACCCATGTTACATACTCTACTTGAAAATCTAAATCAGGATTGTTTATCTTCGGTCTTTCTAAGTCAGCTGCAGTTTCGGGGCGTGAGAGCCCTAATTCTTTACTTCCGGACACATGATGGTATCCCATGCGAATAACAGATTCACAGAATAAAGAAGTAAAATATTAGCAATCCATCAACATCAATACTTTGGCATTGGCCATTGATTCGGCTCATGAACGAGGGGAGATCCAAGCAGTCTCTTGCATAGCGAGGTCAGAAGCGCGTTTTTCTTGACCAAGAAGCCAATTTGATGTTTTAGTTCATCTACTTTCATGCGTGGAAACTGCCTGCTTACTTCTGCTTCCCGCCGACTTGCAATTTGAGCGAGCGACCCTTTTTGGGGCTTTTCCACTGCACCTTGTTTCAGTCTTGAGCGCAACAACAGTTTCTTTTTGTTTGCCCTGTGCATGGCGGCACTGATCTCATTCGTCCATAGTTCTTGCAAAACAAGTGTTGGGACGCTTGCGATGAGAGCTGCGGTGCGCTCCAATTGCGGATCCGACCATTGTGAATTTTGAGATATACTTGTAAGGCTCCCCGAGAGCGTTGCGTTTTGTGTTCCGTGGAACTCCAGTTCCGTGGTTTCGAGAAGTTCTTGAGATTCGAGAAGGTCAGTTTTTGACCGGGACGAATTCATCATCCCAGTGGAAGAACACGGGTGGGCTCAAACTGGCTTTGGCAACTACGCAAGATTCTTTCTTTTTCTGAAATTGTCATGGAACGGTCAAGAGCTGGTGTTTGTGGACACACCTTCTTCCGTTCCGCTCTTATAGAAGGATGAGAGGATTAGTAGATCGAGATAGCTATGATATTGTGGTTTCTCTCAAAATGGACACTATTGGATACACGGCTCTGTCCGTTTTGGGGTTGAAAATATTCTACAAATGCGGGAACTGCTCTGCGGGTCGGATCCTTGCCAGCAGAGGGAGAAAGGCCTTCTAGTATTCAGGAGGGGCTGGAGACTCAGAGGACCGACGGCCCAATGCAAGGAGCATCTTTTTCCATGGCGAGATCCGGATGTCCCTCAAACGTCAGTATATCTACGTCGAATGAGTTGCTTCTATTGATAGCCATGGCACACAAACTATTTGACAAGCGGAGTCACAGCAATGTACACAGTTTCTTCGCCATGCGGTGTAGTCGGAAGACCCTAGACATTTGACTGGACGGTGAAGAAGAGCACTGCTAACCACTAGATGCAGTCAAGTTACAGTACAGCAGTTCCGTTCTTGATACCACCTGGAAAGCATTAAAGGCTAATCAATCTCCAACTCTGAATGACTCTATTGGAATTACACGTAGGCATTACTGCAACTGCATATTACATATATTAAAACAATGGAATAGCTTGTCGCAATGGACAATGATGGCGCCACTTTCTCCTTGCACCGGCGGACAACACGTGCTTTGCATGAATATGCGCCACTGTACGATCATGCAGCACACGCTCCAAACTTACTTGGCAGTAATAATAATCGTGGTATCTTGTTGCCGAGGCTTCTGTGAGCAAACCATGACTCTCCGCAGAGTTTTCCTGGCTCGAACAGTACGATACATGTTTAATCGTGAGACATCATTATTAATTCATTAACGTTGTGCGGGCGGGCTTCATCTCTCCGTACTTTCCACGAAAACTGGCCAAGATGGGCATCGTTGTTAAAGGACAAAACCGTGACGCAAGTTCTGGAACTTGCGTCATGTTTTTTTCTCATTCAAATACTGAAGTATGGCGTTATATATTCACAGTATGCATGTAAGCAGATCAGTGGCCCAGGCAGTCTCACTGAATAGATATAAGGTTTGTGTAGTGCGCTCTGCAACTCCGATGCGAGGAGGTGAAACTGCCAAAATTCCTCTTCCAAACCCAAGCTGTCGCTATAAAAAAAAAATTAACATGCGTGCACCTGGGAGTCATTGTTTGGCATCGGATTGGTTATATTTTTGAGACTGAAGGAACGGTAGTGCCTGTGCCCAACTTGAATCCAGGAAAGGAAACAGCAGTTTGATAGTCTTGCTATCCGAAAACAGGTCTGCACACACACACTGACCTTTCTGCGTTGGCTTTTGTGAATGCCAATCATTGCAGGTTCCACCGTGAACGACAATCAAACGAGAATCCTGTTCAAGGGCCAATATGTCGAGCTAGTACGCGTCTCTGTCCTCTCACCGTGAACAACAATCAAACGAGAACGCTGTTCAAGTGCCAATATGTCGAGCTAGTATGCGTCTCTGGATGTGGACATCCCAGAAAATTGTGTGATACGAAGAACAGTTTCTCTTGCTTCGTTTGGTGGTGTGGGCACTGTGGACACTACAGATGTACCGGAACACTGTTTAGGGTTGGCAGAATTACTGTACCCCTCGAAGTAAGAATTACGGTACGCGTCATCGTATTTGTCTAACTCTGATAAGTCTCATTCGCTAACTCTCTTTCACCCGTCACTGGCTGTTCCCGCACATCATAGGAGCGCTTGCTCAAGATTGCTTGCGGGTGCGGCAACAACTGAACCACTTCCTACTCATTTGTATTCAATGACGCCGCGCACAAAATCATTCCCTTTCGAAAGTAATGCAAGCTTTCCCTATCAATTTCGGCGTTGCTCACGCATACGTACATCCCGTTTCTACGATGAGAAGATTATATCTCTGGGTGCGACAAGTCTTTTAAACGATGGAGCCAACGCACCGGTCTATCACATCCAACTTTCTCGTATTTTATCTTGCCCTCGTTGCACCTTAAGCCTTTAGATGAGGCCTGGTAGCGCCATAAATATTTAGTAATTGAGGTATTTTTTGCGGGGTGAGGGAATCCTTTGTAGGCGTATTCCGTGAATGAGTGGGTGACTTCTGTAATTTAGAAGAAGGGAGCACCATTCCCTTTACGTAGAAGTTTATTAAGGCCCTTCTTTTGACATGTATTTACTTTTGCGTTCTCGCTGCGGTGAGCTCTGCTAGCAGAACCCTCAGTAAGTTACAGTGTTGTCGAGTACCCTTCACGATACTCCATCTAGCTAGAGTGTCTTTCCGACCGTTAGACCTCATATGAGGACACACGTTATTTTATTTTTTCAAGACAACCAAACTGGCGATTTCACATCTGTTTTTTGAAACCAGAAGGCCATCACCACAGGTAAAGCATTTACTTGTCGATTGTAGTGAGAACCAACTCGTTGATACATACAAAGGTGTTTAAAAGAAGAAAGTCAGCTTACGGTAAGCATTTTTCTTAAAGCAAAATTTAATTCCAGTAGCATAGAAATATTGCGTTGAGGGCTTTCTATTCGGTTTTAACTTTTAAAGGAAGAAAAAAGTTAAAACCAGTCAATCTACCAAAGAAAAAATGAAACCGTGGCCATCAAAGTTGAAAAGAAATAAAATTCGCAAATTTTATGTGATGATAGCGCTTGGTCGGATAGACACTCTGCTAGCTAGCCATCCCAGCACAGATCTCATTTGGATGGCAGCCCCGAGAAGTGGATGTACAGTGAACCCTCGCCATCTGAATCCTTGTTATGTGAATATCCGCGATATGTGCATGCCATTGCTCGGAACGAGCTCCGGAGCGTTGATTGCAGGTCACATATGAGGTATTCATGAATACCACAAGCACATCTTAATCATAACAGGCCTCATACAAGAGCATTCTATGAGACAAAACTGAGCTATGATAACTTTATTCATTATAAATGTGGTTCAATTTCCAGTTTTCCTGGGCAATCGAAAATGGACACACCTCGAACGCGCAAACCAAGCCAAGCAGACCCGCATTACTCAATATTTTGGTTAAAACTTATGGGATTGTTACATATTTGGGCTGTATATGAAACATCCTTGGAAACTGATTACAGTATGCACTTTAATTGAATGCGGAAGGAAGCAACCATCCATATTCAGATATCGAGGGTTCACTGCACAGAACTGTGTCTCCAAAAGGGTCCTTGATTGGTTCGCTCAATACTGTATGTGCGCCGTTTGGAGGAGTAGAAAAATATGGCCTGAAAATGAACAAGTTTATGCAAACCGAGTTTTTGGCGGGAACTACAAGAAAGCTGTCCTACTCTGCCGTTCGACATTCTCAAAGTCAACAACCACTTTTATTACGAACTTCTCTTGTCTGTCAGGTGCTCACGACATACATTCGAGAAACAGCAGCTCGTTATGCTCCTGACCTGAGTGACGACATGGGGGTGCAAAAAAGAGCGGCTGTCGTCATTCTGCCGACGGAAGCGCTTCCACAAGGCGAGCTGCAGAAGCCGGGCGTGGAACAAACCCTGGCACTAACGCCGATCGAATTCCCCGAAAATGCTAAGGCCTCCTCCGTCGTGCCTTTGTACATTCTGCGCAAGGAGGAGAAGACGGTGGTATTAGTAGAGCTTGTGCGTTTCAAGTCGCCCTTCGCGTCATGGTTTTTCGTCCCCGAGGCCGAAGAGCTCGTGCCTGACGTGTGCAGCAACGGAGACGTGACTATGGTGACGCGTGTGGACCCTCTCTTCTGTGCGTTGGTTCTCATGGACTCGTTGAGAGAAGTCGGGGACAAACAGGTGTTTCAGCCCCTGGATGCGTTGTGCGTTACTGCTGATGGGACAAATTTAACGGGACTTTGCGACACTAGGCAGTTCGAAATGCTTTGTGATGTGAAAGAAGCCGGTGGTGAGAGTTTTTACAAACTCAATGACGAAAAGGCAATGTCGTGGCTGCAGGCGAAACATGGGGCTCTGGTAAGGGAGTCGAAGATGAAGTCAGCGGATGCGGTTGGCATCATATCGCAATACGTAACGGCACATTGGGGAAAGCAACTGAGAAAGCAACTGCTCGCAGAGGTTGAGAATGTAGACTCTGAGGCTCACAAAGCGGCCAAGAATTCGCATAGCCTTGCTCTCGCAACCATGATGGAAGACGCAGTGGAGACGAACCAAGCCATTCTCGCTGAAGAAAGAGACAGGAAAAAGGGCTCTGATAAGTGGTCCGTCAAGAAACCGGTTGCCAAATCGAAGGCGGCGAAAAAGAAGAAGGAGAAAGCACCAGAGGCCAGCTTCTGGACGGCAAGAGAGAAGTCTTTGGCCAAGAAACGTAACCTGAAACGAAAAAAGACGTCTCCGAAATGAGTACTGCCGCGCTATTCATGAGGACAAGTTTTGTTTATTCAGGAACATTTTGCTAGCTACGGTGAACAAGAAAAGTGCCTATGGCTTCATCACTGACTGGACGTTTCCAGGGCGATCACCACGATAGTTGCAGTGGATGCAAAGCGGCCGGGACGCAATAGCCTGCCGATTATAGAGGCTCTGAGCGACGTTAAGATTGAAAGACAAGGGCGAAGCGTTGGGCAAGATCGTTGGGCAAGATCGTTGGGCAAGATCGTTGGGCAAGATGGCGTGCGGTGGTGATACTGTAAGTATCTCTATGTAATTTAAGTGATCAATTTGCAAATTCGCGGGTCTCGAGTCGAGACCAGGAGCTCAACTGAAGCCGATGCACCGTAGTGTAATTTTGGTGGGATGTACAGTATGGTATTTAAGCACACAAGTGGCAGGCGATGCCGGAGTGGGTGGAAGCCTCGCACGCTAGTCGGGGCAGGCGAGGTCGTCACAGCAATGGACGATGACGTGGATTCCTACTGATTTCCACCGCCAAGCGTCCGTGATCTACCCAGGTGGAATCTACTTTCTCAGTTAAAATACCCGTGCCACACGCCTCCTGGCTGCCACAATGCTGGTCTGCTGGACAGTTTGCCCCCGCCCTACGCCACCTCCTTAGCCCCGTTCTTCGATCCTCGCTTGCCCCAACCCCCAACACCTCAGCACGCAACGAACCAGCCCCCCCCCCGCCCCCCAACACCTCAGCAGCGCTCCCACACTCACACAGCACACCCATTCATCCCCGCTTTCCTTCCGCCTTCCCTCTATTCCCCAACCCTCCAACCTTCCTCAAGTAACCCCCCCCCCCCCCTTCGCGATGGGTCTGTTTCGCAAAAAGCCCTCTCGCCAAGCCGTCATCGAGCCGCTGCCGGACTGGGACGACACGCGGTGGCGCTCGCACCTGCGCGCGAACGCGCTCGGCACGGAGCACCACTGCGGCATCTACGTCCAGATGATCAACGACGACCGGAAGGAGGCCGCGCGCCTGTACCGGAACGACGACCCCCCGCGCGCGCGCAACTACGCCGAGTCGGCCATCCGCAACAACCGCATCGTCACCGCCCTGGCCGCGCTCAACCCGCTCTCCAACGCCCTGTACGAGCGCTCCGAGCCGCTCGCGGGCTACACCTCGCTCGTCCAGATCCCGGAGCCCGCCCGCTCCGGCATCGTCACCCTCGTCTTCGCCGCCGCCCGCCTCCACATGAAGTACCTCTCAGACACCGTCGACTTCCTCGCCGAGCAGTTCGGCTCCGTCCACGTCGAGCAGATCCAGAACGCAGAGGGCGACCTGTACCCGCTCGTCAACGCCACCGTGCGCGACGCCTTGTCCCCGGCCCCCGCCACGCGCCCGGAGGTCGACAAGGAGCTTGCTTCCGCGGTCAAGCAGTATTTCGGCATCGATATCGCACCCGCGCACGCTCCGCCCGCCGCCAATCTGCACTCTCGTGCTCGCACCACCCCCATCGCGGAGACCGCGGAAGCTATGGCTTCTGTTTCGGGGCGCGCACGCACTTCGCCGCTTGGAACAGCGCCCGCAGCCGCCGTTGCAGCCGCTGCTGGCTTGGGTACCGCTGCGGCAGTCGGCATGAGGCCTGCTGCGGCCACAGCAGATTCCACCATCCGCGGAACACCGCCACGCTCGTCCCGCCCTGTCGCAGAGTCACAGCCTGTCACAGATATGCGTCATGCGCAGACGACTCCTGTATCTACGGCTTCGTCGGATTTCGGCACGCCCATGTCGCCGCAGCTCAGTACAGAACGGGGGCGTATTCCAAAGGTAACTGCCCCAACTGCCGTTCCGACAGCCATTTCACAGGAAACTCAAGCACCGAGGAGCAGGATGTATGCATCACCCACGACGCCGGTGGCATACACGCAGAAGACGGCCGATACTTACCCGTTAGCCGCTTCCGACCACATGTCCTCGGCCTATCCCCTTGCCCCACATTCGGGGAGTGGGGAAAGCGGGGAGGTGCAAAGGAGCAGGGCTACAGTGCTAGGTGACTCCGGTGCGAATGATTTCGAAAACGAAGTGATTGATGCCTACGGCGCAGCGCAGAAGGGCTTATTGACTTCGAAGAACGCGCCAATTCTGAAAAGAGTGCCATCAAACGAGAACTCCGGCCCAGGCCTCGGAACCAGGAGCATCAACGAGCTCAGAAGTATACCGGCGCATGTCAGAAGATTTGAGGACGGAGACGAGGCTCTTGTTTCACGGTACGAGCGACTGCGGGAAAATCTAGTTGTATAGCGCAAACAGTGTTGTGCCCGTTGTTATTTGTCGTTCTTCGAGGTTGAGAGCTGAGTAGTAGGACAACGGGTGCATTTTTAAGATCCTGGGCTTCACACTCATTGCTCTGTTGGGTGGGAGAGTGCCAAAACTTGGAAGCCAACTCTATTTTTCGTCAACGTGCGTTTGCTTTCTATACAGACCCTTTCTATTCGAGGATATTGGTTAAACTGTTCGGCGTCTCCGCCAGTTCCTTTCGTGCTTGTGAAGAAGCGAGGCGTCAAAATCAGAGAAGTGAAACATGCACACACCTCTTCCGTGACTTCGCAAAAGCCTGCGCCTTTCTATGAAGGTCCCTTTTGTGTTTTGGTGTTGTTTGTGCTTCTTCCGTGGTCACACGATGGAGCTCGCTGCGAAGCGGATTAGTTTGTGTCATTTACAGTACTCTGCCAGACTGCAAGAATTGTTAAGCTGTCTGCGTGTTGAGCGAAACAATTCTCTGCGTTCACACCGTAGAAGTTACTCTCGGTGCGGTAGCCCACAGCATGTCTCGCTGTAGTGGAGCTGTGAGAATGACAAGGATCGTCACCGAGCGCAGCGCTGAAATGTCCATGCCGCTGCTGACTGGGACCTGCAGTGTGTGAAGCGTTGCTTTTTCGAAGGCATCCATCCCTCTAAGATATGGCAGCTTGGAAGAGAAAATGGATTATTCTGCTGTCGTTCCCGATTTTGACAGCCGATCATATCGAAGGAGCTGTAGTAAGGAGCTCTCGCGCATCGCAGGAAGAGGATCACTCCGGAGAGCGTAAAAAAAGATGAAAATACAGTACATGATGTACTGTATTTTCACCTTTTTGTCATGATGTACAGTAGAAGCTAAATACAGAAGAAGTTTTTGACGGCTCTCAGTTTCTATACTTATCGTTTTAATTATGACACGGCACTTAATCATACTTTCTATTGCGATACCTCAGCATCTCGAGCTGCGCTGCGGGGGCACGTGGCTCGGAAGGGTGCCAAGCATCGCATCACTTGGAGGTACGAACGCATTGCCTGCTAACTTGCAAACAAAGCTCCACGTCATGCCAGAACCCATTCGCATTGCCGGCGTCCCAGAAGCTTTTAATGACTGCTTTGAACATGCCGATTTCGCTGGGAAAAACCTGGCATGCGGTGCGAAGCTGGTTTTGCATCCAGGGGGCAGCGGCTCTATGCTAAACTCTGTGAAGGGCGGCCAAGTCGACGCTGCCTTTGCTCTTACCGACTGCATAGTGGCTGCAATTGAAAATGGTGACCCCGTGCGACTTGCCGCACCATTGGTGAGAAGCCCGCTCACATGGGCTGTGATTGTTGCCGGCAAGGCTTCCGTCGCAAGTCTTGGTGAGCTCAGCGACGCAACGTGGGGCATATCACGTTTCGGTTCCGGTAGCCATGTCATGGTGCAAACGTTGGCGTCCAAGAGGGGCTGGACTGCGAAACCGAGATTCAAAGTTTGCGGCAACTTTCAGGGGCTTCGGGATGCCGTCAACGATGGCACTGTGGATGCATTTCTGTGGGAACATTTTACGACGAGGCCATTTGAAGACAAGGGTGAGGTGAGAATCATTGACGGGGTACCCACACCATGGGGATGTTTCAGCGTGGTTGTCAGTGAAGATTGCAAACGAATACACGACATTCACGCAGTTGTCGATGCATTTGTAGAAGCGGGGAAACAGTTTCTTGAGGACCCGGGTAATGTTGGAGCCATTTCAACAAAGTATGGTATGAGTGAAGATGACGCAAAGGGTTGGATGCGAGGGGTACGGTATGCTACTAGCGGAGAACGATTTGTACCGCAAGAAGAACTTGGAATGACGAGGGAAATTCTTCGAAAAGCCGGGGTGATCAAGAAGTCGCAATTTGAGGGTGACACAGACTTCTACTATACACTTGCATAAGACAAACAGGTTGTCGCAGCAGATATGGAATCACACTTGTGAGGCATGACGGTATTACATGTTTACCAAAAATTAGCTTTGATACCGCTGGGGCGCTTCCAACCTCCGTATGTGTTTGGTCTTTCGTACTTGCTTATCGAAAGCTTAAGCCCGTTTGCGTACAAATGACCGATATCGCCAATTCCGATCGCACGCGGGCACGCATAATCCGGAGACCTCTCATCGAACAAAATCGTTGTGACGGAACTAGGCGACATGTAAAACGAAGTCCACGCAACGGCGAGCGGGATGTGCAATAGATGGGCTAGCCAGGTAAGGCCGAAGCCACCGTGACAAAAGACAGCGATGATATCGCGATTGGGCTTGACAATCCTATACTGAAAGCCTTCCCGCATGTATCCATGCCTCGCAAGAAAGGCGTCGCTGGACACTTGCAACTCCTCAAACGGCTGTTTCGCGGGTTGAATACCAGCGATGAGATCCCATTGCGACTCTCGTTCCAAGGCTGCAGTGGAGCGAACGTCGTTGGCAGCGAGGTCCCACATGGCGAGACCGCCCTCCCCGGGCCGTTCTCCTCCCTTTAGTCTTGGCCAGTAGGTCAGCTCGCGAGTCCATTCTTCTACGTTGGCCTTCATTCCTAGGGCTTCTTCCGTGTATGATGCGGTGGCTCGAGCTCTGCCCATGGGACTGGTGTAGATGTGGGTAATTTCTCCTTCTAAACCTTGTTTGAAGCGCTCGGCAAGAGCGGCGGCCTCCTTTTTCCCGGGTCCTGTCAGGGAATCTGTGACGTATTCCGGGTCGGCATGACGAATGATTAGGAGGCGCATGTTTTGCTAGTAGAAGATTGTACGTAATCTATCTGAAAAACGTTGAGGATTGATGTTAGCTTCAAGCCGTCAAAGCTAGTAAGCAATAGTACGTAGTGGACATCTACGCAAGGCGAAGTTGTGATACTGTAGTGTGTACGGTAGACGGCCGTCTGGGATGTGCGCGGAGAAGAGAATTGAGGTTGGCCTTCGATGGCAGGCTCCTCGTAGACACAATGAGCACACCTCGCTCCAAGAACACGTGTCACATGTCAAGGGTTCAACTGCTGCTGTACTGTACTTTCCTTCCGTATCGTGCGTGATCCATTTGTAACCCGATCAACACGGGATGATCTACAAGTGCTTCCTAACTGGCTCCCTGAGCCAATTTGGGGCTTTAGAAAAAGCGTTTGAATTGATGGCGTCAGCACTTGCTGTATGAGGCGGGCTGTACGCACACTTGGCACAACATTTCGAGGGGCTCTACGAGGCCGTCACACGGGTATTCCCGTACGGGGGAAGCTCCGCGGCTCGCCGTCAGTCACGAGGGCTTGGATGTCGGGGAGTAGGCTGACATACACATACTGTACGAGGCCCAAAAGCATCATCCATCCGGTCCATGAGGTCTGGGAATCTGCCCTGCCAAGTAAGCTCGCGCTGTAACCTGCCCCGGCTACACGTACCGTATTGTAAAGTGCACTCTTTGTACTCAACAAAGAAATCCCTTCCCTTCTGCCCGCACAGCGGTGCTATGAATGACACGTGTACAATATCAAAGACCCGACTCAGATGTTGTTTTACGACGCGTTACCAAGCGAGCCATTACCCTACCAACGCAACCACCTCGCAAGCCGGTGAGCATTCAGCAAACCCAACAAGGCCTTGACAGTGTAACCATCAAAAAAAAAGTCTGCGGTTTAGGACTTGCCACACGAGCAACAAAAAGAGTCACTCGATCCATGCTAAACATTTACATGGCATGGGAAAAGCTACTACCTACGTACACGTCAGCTCGAGTTAGTTTTGCGCGACGCTACTGCCTCAGAGGCCAGTGAAACCGTCTTCGCTTGCACAGACGCCGTCGTCGTCGTCGCCGTAGACCCTGATTTTTTCACCACGTGGAACCCTTTTGCGCTCTTCGAAAACGGTGACAAGAACGCCATCAAGATGCTCCATACCTCAAGTAAGAAGAAGAAAGGAAGCCCTAAAATTTGGAGCGCCACCCAGAATATCCCTCGCCACCACGGCGTCCCGTGCTCACGCATGTTGATCACCAGCCCGCTAAGGTACACCAGCGTCGTAGTCGAGAAAATCAAGTTGCTCAGCAACCGGATTGGCAGCGCAATCTGCTTCTCGAAAGCAAAACTCAACCCGAGATACACCAGCTGTAATGGTAGCACCACCGGAAGAATAATCCAGCTAACCGTGTTCAGCAGCAACAACACCTTGTGCCTCGCTTTCACAGGGCAATATACTGCCGTCTGGAATAGCCCCACGTACCATCGCCGTCGCTGTTTCATGAAGTCCATCAGGCCCTGTGTCGCCTGCTCTTCTAGGAACCCGTCACACCACATCGTCCGATACCCCTTTTCGATGGCTAATAAAATCCACCATGCGTCCTCTGTCACGCTCCCTCGAGGTCCAACATCAAAACCTAGCTGCATCTCGACATCTTGACGGCAAACAACAAAAGACCCGTGCAAACCGAAAATTGTGTATCCCAGGTTATGTTGTAGAAAAAAGTGACCAAGATCATCACCCGTCCTTCTCATGTCGGCCAATGTCAGAAACGGATGCTTCTTCCACCCCCGGTGGTATAGAATCAGTCCTTGCCCGATTCTCGTCGTTTTACCTGTGCGCTCACATTCCGCCACCATCAATGCAATCCCCTTCAAAACACTAGACGTCGGCTGGCTCTCTTCGTCGAGATGCACAACCCATGTATCTGGAGGAACAACTGAATGCTGCGACGCATAATGCAGTGCGCGGGCTTTAAATTTGGCCCCGGACGGTGTTTGATATTCAGCAGGAACTTTGAGATGAATGACATCAGGTTCGTCAGGCGCCTGAAATGCATCCCCATCCGTGACTACCTCAATGAGGTACGGAAACATAGAATTCTTCTTCATTTCTTTCTGGCATCGTCGTATAGAGGACAGGAGACACTTGGTGTTAATACCGCGGGATACGATGCGAAAAGCGACGTTGTGTTCTGTTCTCTCCACCTTGTCCAGCTTCGTGTTGTGCCTAAACCAGAGAATACCCACTACAAAGGCCAAAGACGACGGAAGCGGAATAAGCCATACGATTCCCAGCAGAGTCCAAGTAGTGTCTTCAGTGAAGTCTGGTGGCCAGACCCAATTTTGAAGAAAGTAGAGGCCCGCGCCCGTGCCCAAAATCCAGGCCATGACGAAAAGGCGATGCAAAGTTATTGGCCCTAGGAAGGAGATGTCACGAAAATGTTCTTTGGATCTCGCAGACGGACCCGAGTGGAACTCTGGGTAAGAGCTTCCGCTCTCGATATCTGAAGGGTTTCCGACATGAGTCGAGACGATGAGGGGAGGCTGCTCATGGCATTCTGACTCCGTGGCGCCGACGGAGGAGGAAGGACGGAGGGAGGTGTGCGACGCTTGTGATGTCACCGTGGTGTCCGAGGATGAAGATACCATAAACTCTGACAGGTAGGGCCCAGACAGAGTGCGAAGCGCGGTGGCGTTTGCAAGACGTTGGGAATCTGGGGAAGGGTTGAGACGCTGTGGGAACACAGATGGGGGCCGTTTGGGGAACGTTGGTCGAACAGATTGGGGAGCACCATCGCTGGAAGGGTGTGCTCCTTCTGGCGGCGACATGAAAGCAGAGTCGACCGACCGAGGATGGTGAGGTCAGGACGGAGAGGGAAAGCGAGGTAGGCGGAGTGGAGTTCAGAGAAGCTAGTGGTGTGGTGTTCAGGTACCTGGTGCAATAGGTGTAGAAGGTGCAATAGGTGTAGAGCGTGAAAGGAGCAGTAGATGTGTTTGGGAATTCAAGGTCGAGAGAGATGAAAGGAGAGTGACAGCGAGTTGTTGCGTCGGCTGTCTACAGTACCCTTGGTACTTGGCATAACAGAAGAAATGGATGACCCTTTGATGGGGGTTCACTGCTTTGGAGGCATCCCGTATACAAGGGGGGGGGGAAGGTAGGGTACAAGGGTGAGTGCAAGTGGGTACAAAAGTATGAGGGGCGAGGAGAGTCGGGTGCGTCGTTTCGAGGGCCGGCGGTGAAGCGTGAAGCTGATATTTGCGTATGTCGGTTTCTTTCCGGTACTTAGTTGTCATGAATAGCAGGTCGTGGTAGGTCGTGGGGGCTAGTTTCGGCCTTTTTGGGGTCGTTCAGAGGGGATGACAACGGGTGGCGACTGCCAGCAGTCCGGGACGGGAATGTCAGAGGAAGGGTCAGATTCGTCAGCAGGGTTGCCTCAGGAGCAGGCGGTCAACAGGCGAGCGTAGCGCAAAGTTTTACTGTTTACTGTAGCGTCGGGTTGGCGCTCCCCCACTGAAGGGCCAGTAGACGGAGTTTGAGTAGACGCGATGAGGTAGAAATGAGTGGTTTAAGGGGCCCTGCAGCCGCATCTGTATCCTCTGAACACCCTCGCATCTCATACTGTACTCAAGTGTATGTTCCACTTACATAGAATTACTTGCATCGAGAAAAATACTCTCTGCCTCGATGACGAAATATGACTCGCTCGATGTACCTCGCGGCTACGCCATCTAAATATTCAGGACCTGCCTTCATCACTTGGAATTTCCAAGTGATGAAGGCAGGTCCTGATTCCAAGTTGGAATCACTTGGTAGGGTGGATGCAGCATTTACCGTGCGGCACACTATATACTGGAGTCAACCTCGATTTTTCGTGCTTGAACCACCTGGGAATATGCCGTGCATGTGGGCTTCTCAACAGTAAGGATGACGTCGTCCATCATCAAACGCAGCCAAAGATGAGTGCCTCATCTCAAGCCGCGGTAAGCACCAGCGTACATTGCATTCCCAATCTCCCAAACGTGTGTGATATTCTTTTTTTTTCTCTCTTTCTAGAACGAGTGCATCACTACCGTTGGGGTAGCCCTTGTGAGGTCGGTGGTCTCGCCCTTGCTGACAAGAAGCAATCTGTGCGCAACGATACGTGGACCAAATCCAAATAACAGATCTTGTAAGCGTCAGCAGATTTGCTTCCACTGACATTCCCTGACTCCACCCAATCAGGTCGTGTTTCACGATGGACTAATTTTTCAAATTTATTCCGTCCGCCGACAGGGATCCCGAGTCGCCTCACAATTTTTGACGGAATCGTCTTACTTTGTAAGCGCAATAATTCAGTGCTTTTCTTCACATTCCCAAGCGTTCAGGCTTCATCGCAAGAGTAGCCCCCGCCCCGAGGGAAATCTTTGGAGATCTGCGTGGTGCACAGTCTCTGAACAGACCCACAGGTACCTGCTTACTGTGTGTTTGATTGATTTCTCTGGCGCAGTGAACTGTATCGAAGACGCAAACGTTCAGAGCAACCGGCGTCTTCTCTGAACGGTAGTACAGTATTGCAAAATCACCCACCCGCGAGCAACTTGGTGAACGTAACAAAAAGTATACTGTATAGAGCTCCCCTCCGACCTTCTTTCGTAATCGAAACGCGAAATCTATTGATATTGATCCTGTACGCTTCAGTATTGCCACGTACGTAAAGCAGTTGCGCACAGACACTCCGTAACAACAAACGCTATTCTGTACTGATGCAGCTTCTTAGACAACACCATTAGTCGTATAATACTAATGTATTGTAAGAAGCTTTTCTTAGACAACATCATTAGTCGTCACTGACGACTAATGGTGTTGTCTAAGAAACAAATCCAGAGTGGATTTGCCAACACTCTACCATCTGCCTCATGACAAGTAAGCTTGTCGATTACGAAAACGCAAAATCGACACCACACATACTTCCCCCACTTCCCCCATACATGAAGAGGCTTTCCGCATTCACAGGAGAGAGCGATGGGCAGCGCTGCTGCCCTCTCAAAACATGTTTCACATCGCTTATTTAGGAGCACAAATGTTGCTCCCTGTGGAAGCTTCAAACTCCACGATTCATGAAAATCTAGGGCCCAGGTGCTCTTGCACCGTCATGCGAGCCCAGCCACAAGTTTATGCACTCACTGACATTGAATTAAGCGATGTGCGTAATAAAAATACCCAAATTCTCCTTGTATTTGACATCAAATGATGTCAAATCTCCTTGGGAAGCGCACCAGTTTACATGCATAATTTCAATCTTTCTACGCTGGGTGCAATCCTCTCCCATATTCATTTCCCTTCCCTTCCCTTCCCTTCCCTTCCCTTCCCGACATCCACTTATGTGCCGTACCGATATAAAAAAGCATAGAGTCCCATCTTTGCATTTCAAGCTCGTTCTGATAAAGAGGTGGCAAACACTTGTAATGAACAGAGCAAGTAAGCAGCAGATGAACCTTTGTACGACAGGCCTATAGTGAAGGGTATTGCATGAGAGCTAGGTTGGCCGTTCTTTGTGGCTCGTGTAAGCTTGCAAAACGAGGGGGATAGGATTGAAATATGTCAACATGTTTACAATTTTATTGTAAGAACTTGTGCTGTATTTTCCATTGTTTATGGATGCATGTGGAGCAGGGATACTCGTCCTGTTATTTTGCCTTGTGTTATAAAAAGGGAGGCTGCTGCCGGAGAGGCTGCTGCCGGAGAGGCTGTTCACCAGCTGTCGGAATGGGACCGGAGGCCCCCTTCGCTTTCCAAAACACCATACACGTGTACACGTCGAAGAGCGTTTGATTCTACGGTATGGCTACTGTACAGTACAAGCAAAAAAAATAGTGCGTCAAATTTTGCCTCCTGGCTTGCCGTCTTTACGCCACCGCCATCAACTCATTGGTGGCGGCCATCGTCTTCAAGCCAAAGTCGTTCTCGATGTCAGGAAAGCGGTCTGCTCGAGCACAGTCTCCAAACGCAGAGTCATCCAGGACACGCAAGCGCCCCCGCACCAGCAGAAATCCCTCCACACACGACAAATTGGTACATCTGGTCCACTTTTGGCTCTCGCCGACCAACCTGAGCCACGACAGATTCCTCACAAACGTCATGTTGCACGCTGAGGGTTGGGTCCCTGTGTCCCAATTCGTAACCTTTCGCAAGGTTTCGCAACTCGGCGCCAGCGAAAAAGACGTGCTCAACGCCCTTCGAGCCGTACGTTCCCCACCGCTCGAGTTCTCGACCGACGGCGCCGAAGGCGTGCGGGTGCGTATCGCGGGAGGGTTGATGGAACTGAAGCGCCTCATTGACGGCGTGCGCGATGACGAGGACGAACGGACAATTTATATCGAGACTCTCGCGGCCGGCGTAACGCGAGAGCGTGTGATCGATGTTTTCAAACGGTTCGGCGACGTGGCGTACGTGAGCGTGCCGCGGTTTCCCGGGGGCTCGTGTAAGGGCTTTGGCTTTGTCGAGTATAAAGACATACAAGCGGCAGCGGAGGCTCTCAGAGGTGTCCGGGAGAAGGAGGTCAGCGAGGGAGATTTTGCAAACCTGCGCGCACTTCCGCGGGCTGAGTGGCGACGGCGGAAGGACAAGTACAAAGATCAGAGACATAGTGCGCAAGTCGCCAACGCGAAGGCAAAGAAGAGAGGTAACCATTCTTTGCAAGAACGGCATCTTGTCAAGCGTGGAGATGCGGCTGCTGTTGATTTTACGCCTGTCATGAGTGTAGCTAGTGAGGATAATGGCGGTGAGGCGGAGGGTGCAGAGGGTGCGCAGCAGGAAGCTTGCGCAGACGACGACGGCAACTCTAAAGAAGTGGAGTGCGATTCAGAAGCAGCGCAAGCGGCATTAGCTAGTGATGAACAAGGCAAGCAGCTGTCGAACAATGGCCCGGACGATCAAGACGAAGATGAAATAGAAGTTGAAGCTCGTCCGACACCGTCGTTCGAGAGCGGATTGATTCTGGCAATAAGCGGGCTACAAGTTACTAAACGAAAGGTGACGCGGCGTCTTCTATTTGAGGCTCTGACGCAGTACGGGAAAATGGGGTACGTCGATTATTCCCCCAAGACGCCCAACGAGTGCAAGGCACGGTTCGTGAGCGTGGACGCGGCGCAAGCGGCGTGCAGTGCTCTCTCACCCTCCGGCGGCGGGAAGATCTGCGGAACGATCGTGACGGCATCAATTCTCACGGGCGCCTCCGAGAGGGCGTACTGGGTGTCGATCCAAGCGCAGCGCGAGTCGCGGCGCGCGCGGGCGTCGAGCAAGAACGGGGACAAGGCTGCGCGCAAAGCGGCGCGGCGCGCGCCGGCGCGGCGGCAGCCGGCGCGCGCGGGGAAGGGGGACTGAGCGGGGAGGCTCAGTCGTCGTACGAGGCGTGGGGCCCGTACGTGCAGCCTGGGGCCGCCGCGTCCGTCGCGCCGCAGCAGTCGTAGAAGAAGGACAGGCCGCTCGTCTCCGTCGGCTCCACGCGCAGAAGGCGGCCCGAGAACAGCTCCGGGTGGTGCTGGCAGGACCGCGGCCCGTTGCGCGACGGGTCGAAGCGCGTCTTGCAGATGCGGCACACGCGGCGCGGAGGAGGCGCTGCCCGCGAGCACATGCGCAGGCGGCGGCGCGCCAGAGGGGCGGGCGACGCGCGCCGGGGGGGCGCAGCGCGCGCGGCGAATGGAGGAGGGAGGGCGAAGGCCGAGGGCATTGTGGTGCGCGGGGATGCAGCACTTGATGTGTCGTGGGGACGGGAGGAAGGTTGGCGATGGAGAACAAGGGCAGAGGGGAGGAGGTGCGCCTCTGAGATCCAACCACACTAATTCTTACCCCTCTCGCCAAGACTGACCAATAAACGGCCCCACGCGCCCAACGGTCACTCATATTCCCCATCGCCCTCGGCAGCCCCCTCACCCTCCCCCGTCCACCTCCCGCTCCCATTTCGCGCACCCTTCGTCGTTACGCCCTCGTCCACGCCCGTGATCCTAACAATGCAGATCGCGCAAGATGTCTTTTCCGCGGCCACCTCGTCCCTCACCACCAAGGCGGGCAGCTTACGACACGTACGTGCTCCGCATCGCCCTACCCCCACCATCCAGCCCCGCATTGCACTAGCTAACCTGACCCCCACCCTTCCCCCGCGCAGTTCGCCCGCTTCGGCGCGCTGAGCGTCGGCGTCTGCAGCGGCATAATTGCAGTGGTAAGTCCTCCCCTTCCGGCCTCCCCCCCTTCCGCCCTTTTTTTTTCTTCCCGTCTAACACGCTCTCCGGCCGTCTGCCTCCCGACCTGCGCAGTCCAACCACGTCAGCGCGCGCGAGGCGGCGTACAAGGCCGCGCTAGCCGACCGCGATCAGCAGATCGCCGCGCTCAAGGAGGCGAACGACAAGCTCAAGACGTCTGGCGGTACGTGTGCACGCGCGGCGCGGCGAAGCGGAGCGACGCGCCCTCGCGTCATGCAGACGGTGCAAGTGCTGACCGTGAAGGCTGTCTGCGTGCGTGCTCGCCGATGCAGTGGCGAAACCCTCGTCTGGGGACCCCGTGCAGGACTGGATCGACTCCCTCGCCGAGTAGGGCGCTGCCGCGGGCGCCTCGGCTGCGCGGGTCGGCGCAAGCGTTGGGACGGCCGGAAACGCCCGCGCGCACCGGCGCGCAGCGCGCGTCGCTTGGGCCACGGGACGCGCGCGCCGCGGCTGTCGCAGCGCGGCGAGGTGCCGCGCGTGTCTGGATGGACGCCGTGTGGAGGTCGCTGGCCGTGGCACCAGGCCGGGTGCACTGCGGTGCGATTTAGGATATGCGCGGGTCGCGCGAGGATAAACAGTTTTGCACGCTTGCGTTGGCGTTTTTGGGCACCGGCGGGGGCGGGATGCGTGGCGGGGGTGGGTTATGTGAACGAGCGTACGCGTTCGGGACAGAGCCTTCTACGATGGCGCAGGCTGGCCTGACGGGACGCCGTACCGTAACCGTCTGATCGGGCGCGCTGCCGCGACTCGCCTTGTTCGATGAAGGCGGCCGGGTGATGTGGATGAGGACCCGGTCGGCGGGACGCGCTTCATTGCTTCTACGATTGAATTATGGCGAAACTCAAAAATTCCGAATTTCCTTCGCGCCCCTTTCCACAGCATTCCCAATCCGTTTCCCGCTGTGGGCTGACATCGCGTCGTCCGCTGCAGTCACCGACAACTCCACATCGCCTGCCGCATCCGCTCCCCCGGTGCCCCACCACCGCGCACTCTCTTGGCGCCAGCACCACTCCCCCGCCGCGCCCTCCCCTCCATCCCCGCCACGATGCCCAAGTCGTCGTCGCCCGGCGCGAAGATGCACGCCATCTTCCTCGCCGTCGCCTTCTACTGGTTCATCAGCATCACCATGGTTTTCGTGAACAAGTCGCTGCTCTCCTCACCGGAGGGCAAGGTCGACGCCCCGCTCTTCATCACGTGGTTCCAGTGCGTCGTCACCGTCATCGCCTGCTACATCATGGGCGAGATGGGCGTGGCCAACGTCCCGCGCTTCGAAATCAAGCGCGACATCCTGCGCCAGATGCTCCCGCTGTCGGCTATCTTCACCATGATGATGGTGTGCAACAACCTGTGTCTCAAGTACGTCGAGATCTCGTTCTATCAGGTCGCGCGCTCGCTCACCATTGTCTTCAACGTCATCTTCGACTTTGTCGTCCTTGGCCAGCGCACGTCCCCCTCGGCCATGCTATGTTGCGCCCTCGTCGTGTCCGGCTTCGCCCTGGGGAATCAACAGGAGCTGCGCTGGTCCCTGCAGGGCGTCCTGTTCGGCGTGTCGGCCAGCTTTTTCGTCGCCATGAACGCCATCTTTGTCAAGAAGAAGTTCCCGCTTGTGGACAATGACCCGTGGAAGCTCACCCTGTACAATAACCTCAACGCCTCCATCCTCTTCATCCCGCTCATCATCGCCTTTGGAGAGCCCAGCGTCATCATCGCGTCAGCTAACATTGTCAAGCTCAAGTTTTGGTCCATGATGACCGCCGGAGGCGTTTTCGGAATATGTATATCTTTTGCGGTTGCCGCTCAGATTAAGTTTACCTCGCCATTGACGCATAATGTATCGGCAACGGCAAAGGCCGCGGCGCAGACCGTCTTGGGGCTCTTGATTTATAGGAATCCGATTACCTTTTGGGGAGGCGCTAGTGTGGCGGTTATTCTGATGGGCTCGCTCATGTACACGCTTGTGCGTCGCGCAGAAATGAAGAAGAACATGGCGGCTGACGCGGCTGCTGCCAACACCCCCCCATTAGAAAAGCCACTGCTATCGGCTGAAACAGCACAAGAAGAAAAGGATACGCAGTAGAGTCGTTCAGTAAACCTCTCTCCGAGAGGGCGACACGGTTTCTACATTTAGGACTGCCGCGTTCTTTGCCGGCCCAAAGCTCAGATAATGGTAATGACTATTGCGAGATTTTATTTACACTTTGGTTGGGTAATGGGTAAGAGGTGCGGGGGCGTATTGCGTGAAGGGGACGCCCATACGTGGCCGCACTGCCGTTGCGGCTGGCCTTAGTATTTCCGACTTGGGAAACAGAAAAGAGGTGTGGTGCTTCCTTCCAGTCTCACGAGATGACAAACAAAACAGTTTGCCTCTTCTTCTGTCCCAAGAGTACATCCTACTTATCTAACGGCGCCTATCGGCCTCACGGCGACGCCTCTCTTTTCAAGTAAAGAGATAACTTTGTCGCAGTCTAGCACGCCAAATCTGGACTCCGCCCTTGTCTTGAGCTCGAGGGCGCAGCGTTGGACATGTTGTTCCCAGATTTTCGTGCCGGCCTTGTCAATGTCTGCCTTCATCTTCTCCTTCTGCACAGCGACCTTTCTCGACACGGTCTCAAACCTGATATCGATGCGCTGCTGCACCGCGTGCAGAATGCGAATGCCGATGCGTTTTACCAGCGGGATCAAAAACGATATTCCGGGCAACGAGCGGAAGGAGGTCTCAAGAGCCGTGTGCTTGCGCACAAGCTTGTACTCCCTCTCCGTGTTGGCCTCCTCCACGCACGAAATGAAGAGCATGTGCAGCCCCTGGCACAAAAGCGCGAGCCACACCAGGCTCCACGACTGCCTGACAATGGCCAAGCCGTAGTACGCAAGGTAGCCCAGCGTCAGCTCCGGGTTGGTGACGTAGCGGAACGAGCCTTTGTAGGTGAGCTCGCGGGTCTCCGGGGCGACGAAGAAGTCGCCGTAGAAAAAGCCAAAGTAGCCTGTGACCGACCAGGCCGACACCATGGAGACGACAGCGACGGCGATGAGCGACAAGCCGGCCAGCCCCAAAGCCCAGCCCTGCACCCAGGAATAAGCGCCGGCCTCCCGCGCGGCCGTGGCGGGCAGGCAGAGCGCGGCGATGAGGAACAGGGCGTGGTTGGTGAGGTACGAGAAGAGGAAGATGTGCTGCCAGCTCGAGTAGGCCTGGGTGCGCGTACTCCCCCTCGCGATGCACGAGCGCATCCAGAGGTTGTCGGCGTGGGCGTCGTCGCGCTGCAGCATGACGGCACACATGACCCAGTGGACGACGCGGCCGCACAGCAGCAGAGCGACCGTGAGCGGGGCCGACACGACGGCCGGGACGTACATGATGACGACGGAGGCCAGCAGGCCGGCCACCGCTGCGAAGACGGCCGGCTGCGGGGCGGTGGCCAGGAAGGCAGCGTGCGGCGAGAGGTCCGGCGCAAGCGAGTTCGGCGGGGCCGCAGGGGCCTCGCGCGGGGCCTTGGCAGGCGGTGGCGAGGCGTAAATCTTGCGGATGTGCGGCTCCTCGACCAGGGCGAGGAAGGCCAGCTGGGCAAGATGGGCCAGCAAGCTAACCAGCAGGACGGTGTAGGATCGGGTGATGAGGGCGGCGCCGTAATAGCCGGCGTAGCCGACGGTGTACATGGGGTGCGGGAAGAGCTCGAAGACGCCATCAAAGACGAGGTCTCCGTCGAGGGTGAAGAAGAAGTCGCCCCAGAACCAGGCAAAGTCGCCGAGGGCGTGGTGTGCCTTTGCCTTTGTCCAGAAGGAGAGGGCGAGGAGTGCGAGGCCTGCGGGGACGCAGAAGGCGAGGGTGGGGACGGAGGCTGCTGCGAAGGGGCGGTTGCAGGCGACGCACAGGACGAAGTAGGACAGGCCGTCGTTGGCGAGGATGACGGTGCACAGGGCGCGGAAGGCGAGCCAGGCGTTAAACTCGGGCGGGGCGTCGGCCCAGGCGTACGGCGGGAGGACGGCGCCCGTGCAGGCCCAGTTGAGCAGGGCGTGGGCGGCCGGCGAGCGGGCGCGCAGCCAGCGGGTGAGGGCGTGGGCGTCCGACTGGCGGCGCAGCAGCACGGCGAGGACGAGGTTGTAGGCGAGGCGCCAGAAGGCGAAGACGGCGATGTAGAAGGCGGGCGGCAGGACCGGGCGCAGCAGCAGCGACAGCAGCGACAGGGCCGAGAGGAAGAGCGTGAGCAGCTCGGCCGGGCGCCAGTGGGCCGGCGAGCGCAGGGCGGCGAACATGTCGGCCGTGCGCGGGACGGCGAACTCTGCGCCGGACGGGGTGCGCCCCATGGGGCACGTCGCGGGGGAGGTCATGGTGGGGGGTCGGTGGT